GGTTACAAAACCCAGAGTGCCAGGAGCCAGTGGCTCACGCCTGCAATCCTAGCAACTAAGGAAGCTGAGATCTAAGGATCATGGTTTGAAGCCAGCCCAAGCAGGAAAATTGGTGAGTACTCTTATCTCCAATTAAACACCAAAAAGCCAAAGTGGAGCCATGGTTCAAGTAGTAGAACACTAGCTTGGAGCATAAAAGCTCAGGGACAGCACCCAGGCCCCAAGTTCAAGCCACAGAACTTGCAAACAATCAAGCATGCACACAATTTAAAAACACCAGCACAGGGCAGGAAAACCAGATGGGGAATATAGAGGCAATTGTGCAGGAGGCCTGGCTTCAACCCAGGCAGTGGCTGCTAGGTTTCTGACTTCCCAGGGGTGCGTCCCTCATTTGCTATGGTGTAGGCCCTGCCTAGCCTGGCAGCACCAACACAGATGTGAAACCCTGCAGCCATTTCAGCTGCTGTTACAGGGCTGGCTCCTCTTCTGTCCAAGAGCAATTTTACTTCAAAGGCCTTGGCCTGAGAGGTCTTAGTCAAGCAAGTGATTGAAGGCAGCTTTATTTTCCTGAGCTTGGTGAGGGACTGGAGGAGGGGGAAAAGAAGGATGGCGCTGTGAGAGATCAGTACATGAATTGCCTAATTATGCTGGACAAGATCTTCTAGCTAGAGGGGGCTGCATGTAGCCTCATGAGCAGGAGTGCAAGGCTCTAAATGAGGCTGATTAACAGGTCACTGGGGGAGGGGAGGACAAGGGCACCAGCTTGTGCTGTAGTCTTAGTCTCTGCTGCGGGAGAGACATGGTAAAAGTGTGGCTGTTAGGACTGGGCATAAATTCTAAACCTCAAGGCAGACTAGTGTCTCCTGGAAGAGGTACACAACTCCTGACAAGTCACAACCTCCTCCTTCCTAAAATCTAGGGGCTCAAAAAAAAAAAAAGATACTTAAAATGGTCACCAGTGTCTCATGCCTATAATCTTGAGAATCAAGAAGCTGGGATCTGAGGGTTGCTGTTCAAAGCCAGCCAGGACAGTGAAGTCTGGGGAGCATCTCATATCCTGCTAGCCATGCAGCTGTGGAACTGAGACTCAAGTGGTAGAGTGCCATCCTTGAGCAAAAAAACCTAAGGGGACAACACCCAGGTTGAGTTCAAGCTTCAGCACCAGTGTAAGAAAAACAGGTACTTTACATGAACATATGTAGTTACTGGCTCTAAGGTTTATGTGGGGGTGGGGAGAATATACACATTACCCATTTCATGTCCCCTATTCTTAACATTATTAACAATAAGCAGTGGGAAGAGCATTCAATTGCAAGCTCTGGAAACATCCTCTCTACGCACTGACCATGGCCCTTTGAGGGATTTGGGGGGCCTGGTGTCTCTGCCTCTGGGCTCCAGGCATCTGTTTCTGATGCTCTTGGCAATGATGATCAACAGTTGAAGCTGCCCTTCTGGCACAGACGTGTCCATCAAGACAGAAATCTTCAACACACATTCTAACCGCATGGTGGTTACCTTTCCACACGACCCCACACATAAACAGGGACTGAAGCAGATCTGCGCTTCCCCACCCAGGTGGGCTGCAAGGGAAGATTTGGGGCAACCATCCATCCATAAAGCTGGGAGGGCTCCCAACAAAAGTTCCTCAATACATCTCATTAATTACAAAGAACATTTTACCCCAGAAATATTATTACATATTCCCCTTTGTGCAGCAAGGTAAACAGATGACAAATATTGCCAAAGAGGAGAAAACACAGCAAAGCCAGACTCTAGCTTTGGTTACAAGATAAGGGGAAAGGATGTAGCACAAGGAGATCCTCACAGGGATTGTAGGGCTGGCTAACCAGGCAGCCCATGTGACATTGCAGGCAGCCTGAATGGAAACTTGGGGTACCTGGAATTGAGGTGGCCTACACCTCTGGACAGCACTGTTCCCTGGCAAGCGCAGTACAGATAACCAGGTACATAGCTATTCTGGACAACATTCTTGCCTAGACAGTATCATGGTAGTGGGGGGGGGAAGGAGGTAGGGTTGGATAAGGGTGAGAATCTGATTAAAATGAGTCCTGCTTCTCCACAGCCTGCACTTTGAACCTAGTGCCCTCTATCAAGCATGCTGGTCACTCAGGTGCCATGCCTCCTTGAATTTGCAACAGGAAAGACAGGCTTTTCAGCTCAGTTCACTTCAGCAGTTTGCTCAGAGAAGCCATACCATGGGCTATTCAAAACAAGTTATTCGATGGAAAGATTAGCTTCTAATATTAACCACAATCTGATCAACAAATCTTTGACCACACAGACCCACCAACTGGACAGCTGAGGGCAGAAAACATTTTCTGGAAGTAACAAAGAAACAAAGGCCCAGATTTGTCTCTTTAATTTGGGAAAAAAGGTGGCAAATTTGAATAATAAACTTCACAGGTACCCAGAAAAGACACTTCCCTCACAAGGAACAGAGATATCAAAGGGACAGCCTGCATTTCCTCCACTGGAAGTTAACACATTCAGGTTTGAACTCAGGGCACTCTAGCACTTGAGTCATGACTCCAGCTAAGAAAAATATTTTTTTTTCCTCCTCTAAGGAAACAAGCTGAAGTTCCAATTTTAAAAGCTTTCAATGTTCTTAAGAACATCTGACAGACAGGTGCAAACAGTAAATCCTCTTTTGCAACCCAGAACTCATTGCTGATATAAGATTTTGGTACGTGTAAGAAGGAAGGAATATGAAGCTGGGTGCTGGTGGCTCACATCTGCAATCCTAACTACTCAGGAGGCTGAGATCTGAGGATTGAGGTTCAAAGACAGCCCAGGCAGGAACATCCGTGAGACTCTTACCTCCAATTAACCACCAGAAGTGGCACTGTGGCTCACGTGGTAGATCACTAGCCTTGTGCTGAAGAGCTGAGGGACAGTGCCCAGGCCCAGAGTTCAAGACCCACGATTAACATACACACACAAAAAATTCCTACAACAGTTGGCAATGTGAGTGTTTGTTAACTCACCAGTCTCTCTGAGAATAAAGTTGATGTAAAAGCAAAAAAAAAAAAAAAAAAAGTGTCAGAGACAGGAGCCTGTGGCTCACATCTGTAATCCTAGTTACACAAGAGGCTGAGATCTGAGGACTTTGATTCAAAGACAGCCCAGAAAGGAAAGTCTGTGATGCTCTTATCTCCCCAATTAACCACCAGAAAGTTCCTAGTGGAGCAGTGGCACATACAGTAGAGAACCAGCATTGAGTGAAAAAGTGATAGCTCCCAGGCCTTGAGTTCAAGCTCCAGTATGGGCATCAAAACCAAAGAAAAAAAAAAGGTACTTTTTGGTTAATAAGAATCTTGAATTGAACGAAACACCCATACACCTTTCCTCTGAGTTGGGTAAATATTATTGGGCCTTACACCAAGAGATCTACCACTTGAGCCACACCTCTAGCTCCTTTACTGCCTTGGCAATTTGAGGTAGGGTGTCTGACTTCATATGCCTTAGTCTGGCAGCCCGCTATACTATCACCCTCCTAACTCGTGCTCTCCCTGCCACTGAGGGCGACAGGAATGCCTCAACAAGCCCAGCCACTGCGCTTTTCCTGCCACCAGGGTAACAAGTTCCTGTCACAGAGCCCAGCTATGAATTTGATGGATTCTGGCCTTGAACCCAGAGCCTCTGATCTCAGCCTCCCAAGTAGCTAGAATTACAGGACTGAGCCACAACACACAGCTCTTTTGCTTTCTTTCCTTCTTTCTTTCGTGCCAGTCCTGGGAACTGTCCCTGTGCTTTTGGGCTCAAGGCTAGTGCATTACCACTTTAAACTACAGTGCTTATTAGATAAAAAAGTTTCATGGACTTTACAGCCTGTGCTGGCTTAGAACCGTGATCCTCAGATCTCAGCCTCCCGAGTAGTTAAGATTATAGCCATGAGCCACCAGTGTTCAGTTTCTAGCTTTGTTTGTGTGGAAATAAGAGTCTAATGGACTTTCTCTACAAGGTCTGGCTTTGAGCTGTGATCTTCAGATCTCAGCAAAGAATACACAGGCATGAGCCACAAGCAATGTCTTTTTTTTTGCTTCAAACTTCAATCCTCAGATCTCAGCCTCCTGAGTAACTAGGATTACAGGTATGAGCCACGGGTGCTGTTTCTTTTCTTAAAGTGATGTAAAAGAAACTGTTAAGAGTGTTTTCAGGACTGGGAAGGTGGCTCAATGGTAGAGTGCTTACCTCGCATGCACGAGGCCCCAGGTTTGATTCCTCAACACCACATACGAGAAAAAAAAAAAAAAAAAGCTGGAAGTGGCGCTGTGGCTCAAGTGGTAGAGCGCTAGCCTTGAGCTGAAGAGCTGAGGGACAGCACCCAGGCCCAGAGTTCAGGCCCCACGACCGGACCCCCCCCCCAAAAAAAAGAAAGAGAAGACCTAAAAAAGCTTTTAGAGAATGGGAATATTAAAAACAAAAAACAAAATGGGGCTGGGAAGGTGGCTCAGTGGTAGAGTGCTTGCCTTGCATGCATGAGGCCCTGGGTTCAATTCCTTAGCACCACATAAGCAGAAAAAACCAGAAGTGACACTGTGGCTCCAGTGGTAGAGCGCTAGCCTTGAGCTGAAGAGCTGAGGGACAGCGTCCAGGCCCAGAGTTCAGGCACCACAACTCACAAAAAAACAAAAACAAAAACGATATGTTATCCAATTGTAATAGAGTCCTCTTCTGATAAGGCTGTCAGATTTCTTGAATGTACAAGGAACACTTGATTTCTCACTTCTGAATAAGAGCAAATCTGGAGGAAGCTGCAGTCACATGCAAGAAACACTCCCATCTTTTCTCAACTGGACCAATGCATTTTGCCTTTGAAGCCAAAACTAAGACACAATCACCTGCTCACCGCAGAAGTTACAGATGGCCCTGGCACCAAGCCAGACCTCAGGGCAGGAAGCAAGGACCTCTCACCAGGCCACTATACTGCAGCCACCCTGAAGAGGAGTCTAGATCTCAAGACACTTTGCACAAGGACGGCAGTTCTTCATTTTCATGCTTTATTGGAAGTCGAATATGAATCAAAGACAGGTATTGGTAAGCAAGTTATGTCTCTAGAGAATCACTTAGTTCAGAGCAGAATGTTGTCCCAGCTACTGTGATACAAATTCTTTATGGACCAGTGGGGTCTGGCGTGGAACTCTAACAGAACATTATTCCCTCCCTTGACTAGAAATCTTGTATGTAAACATGATTCATCATCACTGCTACTAAACTCACCCCCGACCTTTCACTACCTCCCCTTTAAATATAAAATCTGAAACATTTCCTTCAAGTCTGATGTCCATCAGTGCAATCTGCTTTATTTGACATAAGGCATTTGGGACAGTCACTTTAGAATGGATTTTTGCCTTTTGGAAGAGTCACATGATGGTCTAATTCTTAAATCCACCTTTGCTTTAATGCCCTAACATGTCAAGCTCCTCTTCCCCTCTGGTAATTTCTTTGCAGCCAGCAAGTGTCCAAAGCTTAATGTCCAAGTAGACCAGTACCTGAGAAAAGAAACACACATGAGGTAGAGCTGTGAACTGACATGATTTCACGTATTCCACTTGCCAAGAAGGCATCATCAACAGGAAGATCTCAGATAAAGACCAAAGCAGCCCCTGGGCTCAAATCAAACCACCAGACTCCAAGCTCTCAGCCAACGCATTGCAGTTCAGCCATTTCCTACGCAGATCTTCACACAAGTCAGGCAGATTTTATTGATATTTTCTTTTCATGGCCATGTTCATAAGGAAATCTTTTGGCCTTTTTAAAAAAAAAATCAATCGTAGGGCTTGAACTCTGGGCCTGGGCGCTGTTCCTCAGCTCTTCAGCTCAAGGCTAGCATTCTACCACTTGAGCCACAGCGCCGCTTCCAGTTTTCTGTGTGGTTTATTTGAGATAAGAGTCTCACAGACTTTTCCTGCTGGGGCTGGCTTTGAACCTTGATCCTCAGATCTCAGCTTCCTGAGTAGCCAGGATTACAGGCATGAGCCACCAGTGCCCAGCTTGCCGTTTTTGTTTTGACCACATCAGAAGTTTCTCAAGTGGTAACACGTAGACTACAAAGCTGCAGAGAGGCCAGCAGCTTTGTCATTTCATCTACCTCAGCAAAGAGCCCCTGGTATTTGACTCATACTCATTTCTTGGCAAAAATCACAGCCTGCCATGGGCCTCTGAGTAGCCTGCAAAGAACCAATGAGCCACAGTTTATGCTGTACATGCCAAAGTTCTGTATGTGACAGATTCACGAATATGCAGGTGGCACAACAGTGCACTTAGTGGCCAAGATGACCAAGGCACAGCCCTGTCTCCACCTGGAGTAATAATCCAAATTCCCAAGGGATGATTGAGACCTTTTCACAGGACTTAATGGAATTCAGCGAATGCTTCTTCCACTAATTCTCACCAGTTACACACAAGCTGTTGTGATCTAAGATAGGACGGATAAGAGGAAATGGGAAAAAGTTGAGTAGAAAATCTAAAATGCCACAGGCTAAATTCCTAACCCAGCCCCTCATGAAATGAAAAAGAGGAAGCCGAATGGACATTGGCAGAAAGACTTCTAAATGCAGGCCCTATCTGAGGCCAGAGTGCTGAAAATGATAAGGAAAAAGCTTGAATAAAAATGCTTTTAACTAAAATTAATTCCAGTCATGAGACTCAGATTGGATTAAATTTTAAAATCAAATTATAGGCTTCACTTTAATAGAAAATTACAGTATGACTCTGACATTCATGAACAAAACATGACAAATGTGACTTACCTTTAAACCCTTCTTCTGGCATACAAACTGGAGAAAGAAAAGAAAAATCCAGATTGAAAAGATGGTGTGTCAAATAGCAATAAGATCACCTCAGTGCTTCAGATGAAAAGTTTAAAATAACTTTTAATTGCCTTAGTCACCTGTAATAGTTACTTTTAAACTTATGGATGACATCGAGCTGATGACAATATTTCTCTGCCTTTATTTTTATATTTTTGCCAGTCATGGGGACTTGAACTCAGGGCCTGGGCACTATCCTTGAGGGTATTTTTGCTCATGTTTTACACTCTATCACTTGAGCCACAGCTCCAATTTAGGCTTTTTGCTGGTTTACTAGAGTTAAGGTCTCATGGACTTTTCTGCCTAGACTGCCTTTGAACCTCAATTCTCAGATCTCAGCTTCCTGAGCAGCTAGGATTACAGGTGTGAGTTACTGGCATCTGGCTTCTGCCTTTATTTTTTAATCAACCAATATACAGGCATCACTTAAAAACACTGGTGGCACAAACTTTGTAACCAGGGCTTGCATTCTGCAGGGCACCAGGAATGTCTGGAGAAAGTGCAGAGGCTGACCTCCCAGGAGCCATTTCTCCCTATCCTCTTCTCCATTCCCACCTTCCACAAGAAGCCATGGTGGATCTTGTAGCAGTTTCTTATGTATTTTGTTTCCTTACTTATAAGTAACAGGCTTAGATTGCTACTGCATAATCTTAAATTGATATCGACAACTTCCTCAACAAAGGAAAAATATCAAGTTCTTCTATTGCCTCTTAAAACCTGCCCAAACTAGCCTCCTGACAGAGTACGTCATGATTTCAGATCCCACTGATGGTGCTCACCGGTGAAGCCTGAGGCACACCTTGGTTCTGCTGCTTGTGTGGTTGTGACTATCTTCCTGGGCCTGGCAACTCCTGAATCATTCATGTGTTTCATTTTCTCTGTATGCATCTCTAATACATGTATAAATGCATAAAGGTCTACAAGCCTGTCCAGGGAGTCTCCATCACTTCCACTCTTCCCATTCTGAAACCTGTGTCTACCCACTCCGTGGTGGAGCTGTGCTTGCACTGCTGGGCACAGCATCTATTCTGGAAATCTCCCCTACCCATTTTCTAGGGTGCCCTCCCTCACTGGATCAATTCTATACCAGTTCTATAATTGGCTTGTGTTGTTCCCTTGTTTACAATGAGTGTGTCCTCACACAGCGCAGTGGGCCACTGACACAGGCGGGTATAAACACTGAGGCCCTCCAGACTTGGGGACCATCACTGACAACAAGAGTGGAGTCTGTGTAGTAGGAGAGAACCTCTGAGTTGGAACTCAAGTTCCCAGGGCCTGATGGGCCCTGTTCTGTTCAGTTTTCCTATGTAAATCCTCGTCCTAAGAATGCAATTGCATCAGGTACAAAGTCTGAGTCCCAGCCTCAGGTTAAAAAACAAAACAAACAAACAAACAAAAAAATCATCTTACCCCTAGTTTCTCACTGACGGTAACAGACCCTTGATGAAATCAGTTTTTATTTCCATCAATTCTTTTCTGTCCTCCAAAAGCCCCTTTTACATAGGCCTAACTATCATTTGCACATTTTCTCTATATCATTAATAAGCTGTTTTTAAGCATTCTACGACGTCACACCTTTACCAGTCCATGGACGGACATTCCTAAGGCAAGCTGGTCTTACCTTGCATGACATCATCCATCGCAGCATAATCTGCAATTGGCTCATCAGCCTAGAAAACAAATGGAGACAATTCAGATCCACAATGAAATGTGTGTATGTGTGGGGGTGCGCCAGTTTTGTTTTTGTTTTTTTTTGGTCAGTTGTGGGGCCTGAACTCTGGGTCTGGGCACTGTCCCTCAGCTCTTCAGCTCAAGGCTAGCGCTCTACCACTTGAGCCACAGCACCACTTCCAGCTTTTTCTGCTTACGTGGTGCTGAGGAATCAAACCCAAGGCCTCATGCATGCAAGGCAAGCACTCTACCACTGAGCCACCTTCCCAGCCCCAAGGGGTGCGCCAGTTATACACCATCTTGACGTCTAGCCCCCAATTTTGTTTTGCTACAAAATAAAAACAAACCTTGTTCAGTGGAAAACTTGGCTTAAGGCACAGCCAACAAAGTCCAGTTTTAACAAATGTTATCACCTCAAAGAAATGGCATAATGGCACATATGTGTGTTAGGGGAGTATTCCCCCCTAAAAACATCTTTAGATATGCAAATGTCTTAATATCTAGAAGTCCTGATGTTACTAAAACCACCTTAATCATAATGAGTTACAGGGCAAGTAGCAGCATTGCAAGGTAGGTAGGAAAGACTGGTCCTCTCCAGATACCAAGTAGGCCACAATTACACCACCTCCATCCTTTCTTGCCACCAGGAACATAGCCACATTGTTTTCAGGGGAATCTGAGTTTGTGGTGCAATGAGCTGCAGGTGCAAAGGACCAGTCCAGACCCATTAATAACATGGCTGATGGGGTCTGCTGCACCATACCAATGCCTAACTCTATTGCATCAGAATTGGGACCTGCTCTCAGAAGACCCTTCTTTTTTTTTTTTTTGGTGAGTCATGGGGCTGGAATTCTGGGCCTGGGCAGTGTCCCTCAGCTCTTCAGCTCAAGGTGAGTGCTCTACCACTCAAGCTATATAACACCATTTCCAGTTTTCTGGTGGTTATTTGGAGATAAGAGTCTCACAAACTTTCCTGCCTAGACTGGCATTGAGCCGCAATCCTCAGCTCTCAGCCTCCTGAGTAGCTCGAATTACAGGTGTGAGCCACTGGCACCCAGCTCAGAAGACCCTTCTTTCTAAAATATGGCCATCATGTTCTAAATCCAAAACCAGTTTTTATAGCCTGAACAAGGGCTTCATTAAGCTACCTGGGACTTTTGTGTCAGAACTTGTGTCTTATGCCTATTTTCCAACATGGTTAACTGATGCCATTTGGGTATCCATACGTGAAACTTTCAAAAGTCTCCAAAATTCTATTTTTTGAGCTAGTAATCGATCATAGCTGTGATCCATCAGGATGTAGTCAAATCACTAAAAATACTTTAGTGTCATAAGACTGAAATCCTGGTCCTTGGGAGGCAGAGAGCAGTGGATCATGGTTGAAGGCCAGCCTGAGCAAAAAAGTTTTGACCAATAGCTGGGAGTGTTGCTCACAGCTCTGTCATCCCAACAAAGTGGGGAAACATAAACAGGGGGACTGTGGTTTAATCCAGTATAGGCATGAAGTGAGACCCTATTTCAAAAATTTACCAAAGTAACAAGGATACTTGGTTCAGACGAAGAACCCTCATTCAAAATGCTTAGGACCAGAAGTATTTTGCACTTGGGATTTTTTCCACCCTTTTTGATTTCTAAGTCTGGCATTAGAACTGAGTATGTAACCCAGGCTGGACCGGGACTTGCAGTCTTCTTGCATCTCTCCCTTCTGAAGGCTGCACCAAGGGGAAAGGGTAGGCTGCTGTCACCCTGGAAGCAAGGTTGTTATTCTGTTCGGTTCCAGAAGTCAGGAAGAAGGCTGGATGACAATCCTCATTGCCTTCACTGAAATTTTCACGAATCTTTAAAAAAAATGCTATCTCTGTGTTTCAAAGGATAAAATGATAGAGCTACTTTTTTTTCTGCTGTTGTGGTTTGATTATAAGGCCCTTGTTCCTGCTGAGTTTTTCTACTCAAGGCTGGCATCCTATCATTTAAGCCACAGCTCCACTTCCATCTTTTTGCTGGTTAATTGGAGATAATAGTGTCATGGACTTTTCTCCCCAGGCTGACTTGGAGCCACAATCCTCATTTATCTCAACCTCCTAAATAGCTAGGATTACAGGCATGAGCCACTGGCACCTGGCCTCTCTACTCTTTCTTGGGTAGTGAAAAGAGCATCTCAACATAAGTTGCAGACAAAGCCAGGAGTACTGTCAAATTTGGGAAATCTCAGCTCTCTGTATGCTGAGGCAGCTGGCACCCAAAAACAAAACATGTGGTATGAGGGATATCATAAAAACTTTGTGACCTGAGACCAGGTTGCATTGCTGCTCTGGCAGAACACACGCCTCTGGTGCTGACCATCAAACTTTGGCACTTAGAGAGATCCAGCCCAACTTCCCTTCTTTCCTTCCAGTCTGTGAAAAGTCAGAAGAATGCAGGAGGACTTCTACCAGGGCCTTGTGCAATCCCGAATGCCATGCAGGCCTGGACATTGAACCTGGCACTTCAGAAAGGACCCAGGAGACTTCCCTTTTCATCCTAACCCAGGCAGCAGCTGGTGGCCTGTAGGATGCACCATTTTAAACCCAGAGGTTGTCAGCAAGGCAGCTGTCACTTACCTTTAACAAAATGACAGATTCAGGAATGACACCAAGGGTTCCCAGGGTGGCACAGTCATCATTTAAAATCTTTCCATCAATTGACAAATTCTGGTCGAAAGGAGCAACTGAAAATGCATGCATGATCTGTGACAATATAAAAGAAAGTCTGTATAAAGCAGAATATACTGAGAGCTATACCCAACATGAATAAAGCATGGATTCGAAAAATTACAAACAAACAAAAGACACTACTGTTGGCAGCCAGCCCACTTGCTACATTCCTACTGAGCCTATAATCCCTGATATAACCAGGAACATCCTTGGGAGGCCTAGTAATGAACTGAGGAACAATTATGCACTTGGATCCTTTTGTTCTGCGCTCAGCCACCCCCAGAGGCGGGGGTGAGGAGACAGTGCACCAAAGGTGTGCCTGGCCTGCTCTGGTACCTGCTGTCAGTGCTCTGGCTGGAAGATTTAGCCAAGGGTATCACCATCATTGCTGCCCACCCCCAATTTGAAGAACCTGCATTCTTTCACACACAGGCCAAAGCCAAATTCTCTCTCCAAATCATCTCTAGGTGGGACAAAGGGGTGTGTACCTGTAGTTCCAGTGACTGGGAAAGCGAAGGCAAGAAAGGAGACCACTTGAGGCCAGCTTGAAACCAGTCTGGGCAACACATTGAGACCTTATCTCAAAACAACAACAACAACAACACACACAAAGCTTGCACTCTACTACTTCGAGCCAAAGCACCATTTCTAGCTTTCTGATGGTTACCTGGAGATAAGAGTCTCATGGACTTTAAACTGTGATTCTCAGATGTCAGCCTCCTTAGTGGCTAAGATTATAGGCGTGCTCTACCAGTGCCCACTAGTTCAGGGTTTTGAGATTTTTTTTGTCCACCTCAAACCCCCTATTCCCAATACAGAAAGTTTTCATTTTTTTGGTGGGGGGAGGTCGGTCATGGGGCCTGAACTCTGGGTCTGAGCACTGTCCCTCAGCTCTTCAGCTCAAGGCTAGTGCTCTACCACTTGAGCCACAGTGCCACTTCTGGCTTTTTCTGCTTATGTGGTGCTGAGGAATTGAACCCAAGGCCTCATGTATGCAAGGCAAACACTCTACCACTGAGCCACCTTCCCAGCCCCCAGAAAGTTTTTTTTAAAATTTTATTTATTGCCAATCCTGGGGATTCAACTCAGGGCCTGGGCACTGTCCCTGAGCTTTTGTACTTAAGGGTAGCTCTTCTACCACTTTTAACTGCATCATTATTTCTGACTTCAGTAGTTAATTGGAGGCAAGAGTCTTACAGGACTGAATAGCTAGGATTACAAGTATGAGCCACCAACACCTAGCCTGTTCTTTAATTTTTATCAGGTTTGGTTAGTAACTGTCCCTGAAGGGTAGAGTAAGCCTCAGAAAGGCATGTAAGTACCTTTAAATTCTAATTTTTAAGTAGGAGGTCAATTCCAAAAGTTCATTTTATTATGTTTTACTATTTAGAGACATCCTTATCAAAGGTACAGCATTACAGTATTTCCTATCACACCATTGTCCATATTATAGGAAAACCATTCCACCTTTTCTTCTTTTCCTTAGATCTGGAAAAGACAGGTATTGTATCAAACCACCCCCAAACTGGCTGTGTACCACAGTTTCAAAAGCTGGGGAGATGGGGATCAGAAAAGTGACCTAAATAATAGTACATGCTGCTGGTTCCAGGGGCTCACGACTTTGATCCTACCTACTCTGGAGGCTGAGGTCTGAGGATTGTGGTTCAAAGCCAGCAAAGGAAGAAAAGTCCCCATGAGACTCTTATCTCCAATTAACCACTCAAAAACCAGAAGTGGAGCTGTGGCTCAAAGTGGTAGAGCACTAGCCTTGAGCAAAAATAGCTCAGGGACAGCACCAAGGCCCTGAGTTCAAGCCCTACAACCAACAATAAGAACAATAACAGCACATGGACAACAATAATGATGACAACATATGGCCTCTCAAAAGATACCTGCTCCAAAAGGCAAGCAAGGATTAACTAAACAGAGCTCTGGGGCCAACAATATCAAAGTCATTGCCACCCTGTGCCTGACATTCATACAGCAATCAGCCCATTTCACTTCTTTCTTTTTGCTGCTCCTGGGGCAGGAAGCTATCACGTGATAAACATTCTGCTAGGAGCTGGAAATAGACAGGGAAACAACCCACTGCAGAGGGGTTCCTGCTGCAAAGGAAGATACAATGACAAGCTCACGGAGATGGTGGCAGAGGGGAAGGGAGAGACACTTCTACAGTGGAGGCCAACACAGGTGTTATTTACAGAGAGAGGTCACACCTTGCTAGTGAGGAGCAGTCACTTCAGGCAATGGGCCAATTAAGCACAGAGCCGACCAGCAGTGAATGTACTAAGGATGATCCACTAGAACCAAGGCAACACAGGCCTGTCTCAAGAGTGGATACGGCTTTCCTGGTCTGTGGAGCCTGTTAGGAATAGTAGGAACCAGCTGCTAAGCTTGCTGCCTTTGAGGAAATGCAGTAGCAGGACAGAAGCTTCCAGCCATATAACGCTGTGCCAAAACCTTCCCTGTAAGGCCACTGAGGACTTAGCTTTGGGAAAATAAAATACATTTGGCGGGGGGCTGGAGGTGCTCAGTGGTAGAATATTTCCCTCACAGGATTAAGAACTAGGTTTTCATTCCACAAAGCAAAATAAAATTAAAAAAAGAAACTAATACAATCAAACACTGAGCATCTTCTGAGAAAAGGAACTGATAGTTTTGAGCAATTCTAAGGATGAATACATCTAAGCATTAAGCATTTGGTTTTACAAAGGCTGTCATTCTATTAACATGGAAGTACAGTATCCTGAATGGCACCACTGAACATTAAAAATTGAATTGCATGTTTTGTAAAGCATACCACCACCACCACCACCACCAGTGATCACACACACTCTCATCACAAACTTCCATGCTGTCCAGACTGCTAGGCAAAAGGGTCAAAAAATCTAGTGGAAGCTTTTCAAGTTTCTACCACCAAGCAGCAAGGGGAAGAAAATTCCATTCCACTGCCCTTTCTCTAGCTCCTGTTTGAGTCACAGGAGTCTTTGAAGTAAGAATAGCAGTTGAGAAAGAGATGCTGCAAAGAAACCACCCAAGAAAAAGCACATCTGGGGTTTCATTTGAACAACGGCTGTCTTCCAGCTGCTCATCCGTGCAGGTAACACGCTCCCAGATGAAGAGGTTATTTCTGCTGGCTTCTGATTTATTCTTCAAAAATAGAAGGCCATAATAGGAGCAGCAAGGCTTTGGAAAATGTTCTTATCCACAGGGGCTCTTTTGTAATTTAAAGGTTTTGAATGCCCGAGGTTTACCACTGACAGGCAGAAAGCCGGTGATAGAAACAAGCCTTCTCAGATGTAAAGGGTACAATAACAGAGTAAAGATATTATACCAACACATTTATTTTCAGAGGCGTGGGTTCAACCAAGGGAAATACTGTTCTCAGGACAATCTGGAACACATAACACCCTCAAAGGAAGCCTGTACTTTTGCCTCAATTACAATGATAAATATCAGCAACAAGAAAAATGCGTAGCCAGTAAACTATGCCACATGAAAGCAGCACAGAGGGGAAACTTGGTCAACTTCTTGGACAGCAAGCAGTGACTAGAACATTAGGGGCCAAATTTCTCAGGGACATCTTGAATTTATCAGTCCCCTTTGCCTAGGATTTGAGCTATCCTGTCTGAATGTTCATTTACAGCCCTTTAGTACTGACAGTAAGCACTGATAGAACATAAAGCATTTCCCCATTGTCTGTAGTACAATCACTGACTAAAGTCTAAGACATGAGGGATAGTGGGCAAGAAGATGTACACCGAATGTCTAAACTTGGAAAAGACCACAGTATAAGAAAAGGAGGTAGACTTAAGATAGAATTCTACCAAATACTCATCTGCCTCGGAAACTACTGAGCTGGAAAAACCTTTGACTTGTCCTAATGAGCAGGCAGTCATGTGCCTGCTTTTAATTCCCTCCCTTTGCCTTAAATTCCACAGAAGATCCTGGCAGGAGGCTGATATCCATTAAGTGGTCAAATAAAACCAGGACGTGACCGAAATCTATGGCTCTCCATGTTTCTCATTGTGGGAGAGCTATTTGGCGCTTGCTCAAGGCTTCAGAATATAAAATCCATTTTCATCCTCACAGAAAGAAACCATGTCTTTTTAAAGAAAGGAGTAATAATTTGGGGACCCTGGAGAAATCCTTTTAGAATTGAATAAACCCCATCTCCAAGGCACACTACTGTGAACCAATCATGTGCATAAAAGGTCAGAGAGAAAACATATGCATATATAAACAGAGGTGGAAAAATGGGAACTCACAAAGGCCAAAATCCTAAAATGTTATTTTGCTCACCTGAATCTTCAATTCTTTTAGGGTTTGATTAGCTGAAACCAGAAGTGCTTTCTCACCGCGAACTTTTCGATGTCGCATGCTCCGCCGAATGACTTGCTTTTGATAGGCTATGTAATTCTGATGAGAGATTTTTTGCCGTTTCGTTCCTCCATTGCTCTAGGAGATCCAAAACAAGAAAGCCCTGAAACTACCACAGTGAATTTGCTCATGAAGGTCTTTTGGCACATAAAGCACAATACTTATGGTCACAGGAACCTCTGAAATTCATCATGAACAATGAGCGGAAAATTCTCTAGAGTTTCTTAGAAAAGTGAAGCTCACACACTAGAAAATTGGATAAGTGAAATATACTTTTAGTTACATGTGAGCAGTTTAAATGCTTGACATAAGAAACACTTTAAAAATTTTTAAAAGCTGGGTGTGAGTGGTTCACATCTGTAACCCTAACTACTCAGAAAGCTAAGATCTGGAGGGTCACAATTAAAAACAAAAACAAAAAAAACTGCACAACTCTACTTCCAAAATTACCAGCAAAAAGCTGGGCTGTAGTTGAGACTCAAGTGCCAGTTAAGTGAGGGGCTTAGCTAAGTTCAAACTCCAGTACCAGCAAAGGGAAAAAAAGAAAAAAAAATTCACCATTAATCAAAAAATACACTAAACTGCCTATAACTTAATTAGTTTATGTTACAATTGTATGTGAATGAGTGTGAATATACTCTCTCAACTCTTTCTCTTTCTGTCTGTCTCTCTCTGTCTCTGTTTCTGTCTCTCTCTCTCTCTCTCTCGTACTGGGGCTTGAATCAATGCTTTTGTGTTCTTGCTTCTTTTCCTGGTTCAAGGCTGGTGTTCTGCCACTTGAGCCACACCCTTACTTCTGGCTTTCTGCTGGTTAACTGAAGATCAGAGACTCTCAGATTTACATCTCCATGCTGACTTCAAATCAAGATCCTCAGATCTCCATCTCCTGAGTAGCCAAGATTACAGGTATAAGCCACCAGCACTTGGCTACATTTTCTTCTCTTTGAAAATGAGAAGGGAAGGTATAAGTTATACTTAAGGTATTATACTTATCCTAAGGACAGAACTTTGGTAAGTCAGACTTTGTATCTTTCACTCATGGCTAGTGACCAACTACTTTGAGCCACATTCTAGTATGGCTTTTTTGGGGACAACTTTTCTGCCCTAGTTGGCTTAGAACTGTGATCTGAGAATCTCAGTCTCCAGAGTAGCTAGGATTAAAATTACAAGCATGTGTGCCAGGCATCTGTGGCTCACACCCATAATCCTAGCTACTCAGGAAGCTAAGATGCTAGGACCTTGGTTTGAAGCCAGTCCAGGCAGGGAAGTTCCTGAGACGCTTTATCTCCAATTAAGCACACACACCAAACAAAACAAAACAAAGAAAACACCACAAGTTGAGCTGTGGCTCAAGTGGTAGAGTGCTAGCTGTGCTTGAGCAAAAAAGTTCAAGCCTCAGGACTGGGGTTGGGGGCAGAGGGGAGGAGAATTTACAAGTGTGAGCCACTGTTGCCAGCTAAATGTGCTTCTTGTTATATGGGTGAAATATATGGCCTTAACTATGAATTCTTTGCACAAAATGTTAAATCCTTAGGTCTAGCCTCCAGTTCACAGAGCTGGAATATAGGTCACAGGCATAATGATAGAAAAGAAATAACATAAGGAAACAATTAGCCAAATCCAGAATGTGGAACAATGTGCAAGAAACTAAAGTGGCCTCCGAGTCACGTCGGGGTGAGAAGAAAGGTGAAGGCAAGGCGCAGGACACCTAAGCTGTCAAAGGCCAAAGTGACACCACGAAGGCGCTCTTGCATAGACACTGGTTTGAGAAAATAACCTTTTGAATATGGATGTTAGATATCAGAGAATTTTCTCTATGGCTTCTCACGAGCACATGGTTTCTTTTATCTTTCTAAAACACGGTTTCACATATAGCTCAGGCTAGCCTTGAACTCACAATCTTCCAGCCTGTCTTCCAAATGCTGGGACTATACCTATGCACCAGTATACCCAGTTCAAGTATATTATTAGCATTATATAGATCACTGTTTTTTACTTTTTAGATATGAGATTTTAATAAATTAAAAACAAAAATATATTTAATGTCAATACATTTAATACACATGGGTAGGAAACATGGTTCAAGTTGTACAGTACCTGTTTATTATTGGCAAAATGCTGAGGTCAAGCCCCAGTACTAACAAGGGGGGAAGGGGGCAGAGAGAGAGGGAAAGAGGATAAAAGGGAGAAATGGAGGGCAAGGGCTAGGGAAAGGAAGAAAGGATATGAAATGTTGGGCTGGAAGTGTGACTCAGTGGTAGGCCACTAGACTATCACGGGGAAGGTCCTGGCTTTAATCTCAAACACTGCAGGAAAACAAAAACAGTGGCTAGGAATGTGGCTTAGGGGTAGTGTGCCTGCCTAGCATGCATGACGTCCTAGGTTCGATTCCTCAGTACCACATAAAGAGAAAAGGCCAAAAGTGGTGCTGTGGCTCAAGTGGCAGAGTGCCAGCATTGAGCAAAAGAAGCTCAGAAACAGTGCCCAGGCCCTAAGTTCAAGCCCCAGGACTGACAAAAAACAAAAACAAAACAAAAACAGCAACAAAATAACAACAACAAAAAGGTAAAATGTTCACTGTGATTTACCAAGAGGTCATCCAAAGGTAGAAACATACACAGGTGTGCAATATCAACTGTACTAGTCTTAAGGTAATAAAAGTCATTGTGTCCTAGGAAGTCTTGTAAATGTTTCGTCAAGACATTAACAAGCTTCTGCGCAGCAAGCAGGGACAGGGAATGAAACCAGGATTTTGAAACCATCCTTTTTCTTTCTGGCTTAATTAGATCTGGATGAGGTAATGCAAGGACTCTAGCTCTGTTCACAGGTTGTCCCTGTCAGCTGTGATAAGGAAAGGGGTTCAGGGGTTGACTGTGGACACAGATGTCCACTATTCATTCCCAGGACTCTGCAGGGTTCACAAAGCAGTTAATGAAGATACAGCAGTGCTGACAAGCATGAAGTCCATGCACCACCTGGTGGACAAGCTTCTATACCAGACCAGGTGGCCCTACCTAGCACTGAGTCTATATGGGTATATAAAAAGTTTATATCACTGTTAGAAAAGCTCAAATTGGACCTGAATTCTACAATTAGGAATAGAAAAGTATCTACAATATAGTATGCAACTTACTTTAGCAATACAAAATACAACCAAAAAACCAAAGGCCTGTCATCCAAGACATGTTTTTAAAAAAAATGTTTTAAATGCTAAAAGCTTTTCCTGGAATTATCAATTTTCTTTTAGATCCATAAAATTTAAATCCAACTGGTTTTAGAAGGCTTGCAATTACCTAAGTGATGCCCAATACTGAGTATATTATTAACCTAAATTTTAGATAACACTGAAGGACCTGGTTGATCTGGCTTTAGAGGAAAGGGGATTTGATCCACTCCATTAAGGCAAACACAAATGCACTGCTTTTTATTACAGGGATTTACCACTATGGAGACAGAGCCACCAATCTCTGTTCTGAGATGTGATGATGTAGCCCAAAGAGAAAGGGAGGAGGGTGACATTCTAAAGACTCAATGTTCTTCAGGGACTAGCTACTCTTTTCTAAACAGAGGGCTAGACTTCAGATTTTTTCCCCCTTGAACCAGAAATATTTAAAACATTCCAGAGTATTACAACATCCAAACAAGGACAAAGAGACAGAGGAAAATTACAAAGTATAAAAAATAATTACAGCATAACGAGCAATGCTCCCCAACATTCTCTATCTTATTTACAAATGCGAAGTCTGTTGTCATCCACAACTGAAAAGAATTCCATATCCACTTGAAAACACATTGCTGCGGTTATGACCACAGTGGATAAACCTAGACATTCAGAAAAATTAGCCTTTCAAAGTTTAAATCTAGAAAATATAAGAGTTTTCAAAACAACTCAGTCTGAAAAGCAAAGCTTGAAGTAACAGAAACTAAATACACATATGAAGTTTAACTTACCAAATTTAGCAGAGACTAGGGAATAAATTAGTGATAACAGACCAGAAAAGTTTTTTTTTTCCAAAACTGAGACTGTGGTTGGATACCTGTGACTCATGCCTATAAAATCCTAGCTGTTAGCTGGGCACCGGTGGCTCACATCTGTAATCCTAGCTACTCAGGAGGCTGAGATCTGAGGAACACGGTTCAAAGCCAGGCCAGGCAGGAACGTCTGAGACTCTTATCCCCAATAAACCATAGAGAACCAGAGGTGGTGCTGTGGCTCAAGTGGTAGAGCGCTCGCCTTGAGCTGAAGAGCACAGGGACAGTGCCCAAGCCCAGAGTTCAAGCCCTAGGACCGACAAAAAAAAATCCTAGCTGCTCACTCAGGAGGCTGAGCTCTGAGGATTTCAGTTCAGGTCCAGCCTGGGCAGACAAATCCGTATAGACTCTTTAGGTCCAAATAGCCAGCAAAAAAGAAGATATGGTAGTATGACTCAGGTGTAGAGTACCAGCCATGAGCCTAAAAAAATTAAACAAACGAACAACGAAGGATGATGCCCTGAGTTTAAAGCCCCAGTGCAAGGGTGGTGGGGATAGGGGTGATGGTGATGAGATTCTTGATAATCAAGCTATATTAAAAACAACTAAACAAAATACGGTACTGCCAGCCTACTTCAGGAAACAACAGGGGGCTGGGAAGGTGGCTCAGTGGTAGAGTTGCCTTGCATGCATGAGGCCCTGGGTTCAATTCCTCAGCACCACACATAAGCAGAAAAAGCCAGAAATGGCACTGTGGCTCAAGTGGTAGAGCACTAGCCTTGAGCTGAAGAGCTGAGGGACAGCACCAAGGCCCAGAGTTCAGGCCCCATGACCAACAATTTAAAAAAAAAAAAGGAAACAACAGAACCCTAAAAATGGGCATGTGGCCGGGAGTAGGTGGCTCTCGTGTGTAATCCTGAGATCTGAGGACCGAGGTTCAAAGCTAGCCTGGCAAAGAAAGTCCATAAGACCCTTACCTCTAATTAACCACCAGAAAACTGAAAGTAGAGCTGTGGCTAGTGGTAGAACATTAGCCTTGAGCAAAAGAGCTCAGGGACAATACCCAGGCCCTGAGTTCAAATCCTATAATCAACTAAAAAAAAGGTCATGTAATTCCTCAGGTGAAGGTGGGTGTATGAAGAGGTGCAGACAGCTGGGAATGTTCAAATGGTACAGCACCTATCCAGAAAGCACAAGGACCCAAGTTCAAACCCCAATGTGAAGGGGATGCAGGAGATGAGGGAGAAGGGAGGGGACAGAAAAGGAAGGGAGGGGGAGGAGAGGGAGATGGAGAGAGAAAAAACCAGAGGTACTAGCAGTTTTAAGGGTAGCAATTGTGTCTGCACACTCCTAACCAAGAGACATTACAGCTGGGCATGGTGGCGCAAAACTATGATCCTAGTATTCATAAGGCTGAAAAAAGAATTCCAGGCCAACTTATGCTACATGGTAATACCCTCTCTCAGAAAACCATGGAGACATTTTATAGTGTCATCTCAAAGAACCCAGGACATATAAGACTTTAAGGCACTACAAATTCTAAGAAAAACTCTTAAAACTTAGAAATCTGTGTACACATACAATGTAAAGATCTTAGCATTCATTGCAGGTTGCCTGGGTAAAACTCAAATCTGGAAGAAGCACTTTAACAAGAGTGGTTGCCCATTGACACAAGATAGGGTATCAAACTGTATGGGTTTTGTTCCTTCATCAGTGTCTGTTGGGGGCTGGGAAGGTGGCTCAGTGGTAGAGCGCTTGCCTTGCATGCCTGAGGCCCTCAGTTCGATTCCTCAGCACCACATAAGCAAAAAGAAAAAAGCCGGAAGTGGTGCTGTGGCTCAAGTGGTAGAGCGCTAGTCCTGAGCTGAAGAGCTGAGGGACAGCGCCCAGGTCCAGAGTTCAGGTCCCCTGACCAGACCCAAAAAAAAACCCCCAAAAAACAAAAATCAGTGTCTGTTGGGGGCTGGGAATGTGGCTTAGCGGTAGAGTGCTTGCCTAGCATGCATGTAGCCCTTGGTTCGATTCCTCACTACCACATAATCAAAACAAACCAATAAAAAAGCCAAACATGAGTGTCTGTGGGTTAGGAGATGACAATCAGCCATGGGGGGGGGGGGGCGATGCCTCGCAGCCCTTTATACATGATAGATGGATTCATAGTCACATTTACCTTGGGGCTTTCATGCACACGCTAAAAAATGAAGCAATGAAGCATTAGTGTGTACTGTCAGGCCAACAAGCCCAGATAGGTACAGTCAGTATCACAACAGATGGCCAAATGTAACACCTTTCTTCATTCACGAAGAACGTAATCCTAGTTTGACTACCCTATGTTGATAATTAAGCAAAATTGAGTAGAAACTTCATGAGTTTTATCTAGGGGGTGGGAAGGTGGTTCAGTGGTAGAGCGCTTGCCTTGCATGCATGAGGCCCTGGGTTCAATTCCTCAGCACCACATAAGCAAAAAGAAAAAAAGCCGGAAGTGGCACTGTGGCTCAAGTGGTAGAGTGCTAGCCTTGAATTGAAGAGCTGAGGGACAGTGCCCAGGCCCAGAATTCAGGCCCCATGACCGGGCCCCCTCCCAGCCCCCCAAAAAAAGATCTTATGATTAAAAAATACATCAAAACAGCACTGGCAGCTCATACCTGTAATCCTAGCTACTTAGGAAGCTGAGATCACAGTTCAAAGCCAACTGGGGCAGGAAAGTCCATGAGACTCATCTCCAATTAACCACCAGAAAACCAGAAGCAGCACTATGGCTCAAAGTGGTAGAGTGCTAGCTTTGAGCAAAAAGGCTCAGGGACAGTGCCCAAGCCCTGAGTTCCAGCCCCACAACGAACCGTCTACCCCACCCTCACCAAAAAAAAAAAAAAAAAATCAAGATATAGGTCTTGTGTTGATGTTCTTTTCTAACTAAAGTGTTAAGTGTTACATTTCATTCTTTTTTTTTTTTTTTTGGTTGGTCGTGGGGCTTGAACTCTGGGCCTGAGTGCTGTCTCTCAGCTCTTCAGCTCAAGGTGTGCTCTACCACTTGAGCTACAGCGCCACTTCCGGTTTTCTGGTGGTTTATTGGAGATAGGAGTCTCACGGTCTTTCCTGCCTGGGCTGGCTTTAAACCGAGATCCTCAGCCCCCTGAGTAGCTAGGATTACAGGCGTGAGCCACCAGCGCCTGGCACATTTCATTCTTTCTTAACAATGAGATATGTATAAAATTCTTGGAGGAATATGGGCCATGGCTTTTCAGGAGAAACCAGGATTGTTATAGAGAACCATTAAAGTAAGGAAAGAGAAAGACAAAGCAAGGGAGGAGACTGAGATCCAGTATCCCACACAGTACAGAGAAATGTCCGGGGGCCTGTGACAACAGATCGAACATGTATGACAAGAAGCAGCTTTGACACATACTTGATTAAAATCTGGATCTTTTTCTCCATCTGGTTTGGTTTCTTCCTTGTCCTCCTCTGTTTCAGAACTACTCACATTCAACTCAGGAGCTGAATCCTTCATCACCTGAATGTACCAGGACCACAAAGAGAAAGGAGTTAGGACCCGGTGAGCAGGCCATGGTACTGCAGGACTGTGTGTGACACCACCACAGACTCCGAGTTGATCAGGAATCTTGGGCTGGCTTATTATTTTTTTTCTTTCCATTGTGGGGTTTGAACTCTGGGCCTGGGCACTGTGCCTGATCTCTTCAGCTCAAAGCGAGTGCTCTACCACTCAAGCCACAGCACCACTTCTGGTTTTCTGGTGGTTAATTGGAAATTAACTGGAAGTCTCAGGGACTTTCCTGCCCAGGATGTAGCTTTGAACTGCAATTTTCAGATCTCAGCCTCCTGAGTAGCTAGGATTACAGGCGTGAGCCACCTGTGCCTAGAGTGAGCTACCTGTGCCTGTCCTTGTTTACTTTTTTAACCCTGTGATTTATTCTTCTATTTAATGGGCTCCTTATGAATTTAAGAGATATGTACACTAGAGATCTGATGTTAAAACCAAGGCATTTATTTTGCAACTTGCTGAGCCCTTTTCAAGTCCTGAGGTGATTTAAATTAAGGTTGGAAGAAATGCTTTTAGAACATAGGAATACTGCCATAAACTCACAATAATGAAATACCAGATACCATTTTTGTGTGTGTGTGTGTGTGTGTGTGTGTGTGTGTGTGCACGCGCAGGTCCTGAGGCTTGAATTCAGGGCCTGGATATATCTGAGCTTCTTTGGCTCAAGGCTAGTATTCTACCATTTGAGCTACCATACCACTTCTGTCTTTTTCTAAGTAGTTTATTGGCGATAAAGAGTTTCATCCAGCTCATATACCATTTAATACCAGTGTACATATATGTGTATGGGAGGTTTAAAATATTAATGAAGCCAGCTGCTAGTGGCTCACACCTTTAATCCTAGCTACTCAGGAGGCTGAGGATCTAAGGAATTTCAAAGCCAGCCCAGGTAGGAAAGTTCAAGAGAGCCGGGCACTGGTGGCTCACACCTATAATCCTAGCTACTCAGGAGGCTGAGATCTGAGGAACAAGGTTCAAAGCCAGCCTGGGCAGGAAAGTCTGTGAGACTCTTATCTTCAATAAACCACTAGAAAACCTGAAGTGGCGCTGAGGCTCAACCGGTAGAACACTCACCTTGATCTGAAGAGCTGAGAGACAGCACCCAAACCCAGAGTTTAAGCCCCACGATCAACAAAAAAAAATGAAAGTTCATTACTAAAAAGCTGAAAGTGAAGGTATGGCTCAAGTGGTAGATCTTGAGATAACAACAACAACAAAACCCAAAAGACCAATGGAATTCCAGGACTGATTACCTCCCCCCCTCCCCCGCAAAAAAAGAAAGAAAAGTTTATGGATATTCTAGGGGGGAAAGTTGGCATATTTATAGTTATTAACCTCATTTTCTCAGCAAGTTATGAAATATTATGTCTTGGTTTTAACATCAGGTCTCTAGTGCTCCTTTCTAAGCTACTGTTCTTAAAACAATGTGGTAGGGATAGGAAGGTGGCTCAGTGGTAGAATGCTTGCCTTGTATGCACGAGGCCCTGGGTTCGATTCCTCAGCACCACATAAGCAGAAAAAGCTGGAAGTGGCACTGCGTCTCAAGTGGTAGAGTGCTAGCCTTGAGTTGAAGAGGTGAGGGACAGCACCCAGGCCCAGAGTTCAGGCCCCATGACCACCACCACCACCACCACCACCACCAACAACAACAACAAACTAAGAAAACAATATGGTAAATAGCACCAAAGAAAATATGACACACTATATCTTGACTTCCCAAACCCTGGAATCTACTTCAGAGCCACCCCTAATTATAATAGTCCGGAATCAAAATCTGCCTATTTTACCTACCCTTGCAGATCAGCACGTAAGGCTCTTACTGGTCTTTCTTAGTCCTGACAGCCCCTTACCAATTCTAAACATAAGAAGGACAGCATAGCGCACTATGGCAGCAAATAGTCATGTATTGCTACCTAAGTTTAAGTTAATTACAAATACAAGTTCATTCCCTTACCAGGCTAGCTCATTTCACATGCTCCCCAGCACACAGGAAAAAGTTCCAGTGGACCACACTGTTGTAGATTCTATGATTTGTTTTTGCTCTGTTCCTTGAGTGCATTAGGCTTAGCCATTTATCACTGGTTTCTCTGACAACCCCAGACCGAATCCCTGACAGGATGCTTAGGATGCTCTGCTGGTCTGCACTGCTACACTGTTGCCTCCACTTTGGTCAGCCTCTGATCTGCCCTTTCAGACTTCCTCCCACACTCTCATTTCTGTGAAATTCCTCTTAGGGGATTCTTTAAGTTTAGTCTCGACCTTTCCCATCCAGCTTCATCATCATTGTATCCACTGCATTAAGACCATTCCTGGATCACAGTGACATTCAGAAAATATGTCTCAAATGAAGTTAGTGACAGCCAGGTGCCAGTGGCTCATGCTTGTAATCCTATCTAGTAACGAGGCTGAGATCTGAGGACTGTGGTTCAAGGCTAGCCCATGCAGAAAAGTCCCCATGAGACTCTTATCTCCAATTAACCACTTAAAAACTCAAAGTGGAGCTATGACTCAAAGTGGTAGAGCACTAGCCTTGAGCAGAAGAGCTCAGGAACAGCACCCAGGCCCTGAGTTCAATTCCAAGACTGACCGAAAAAAATAAAATAGAAGGGCTTGGAATGTGGCTTAGTGGTAGAGTGCTTGCCTAGCATGAATGAAGCACTGGGTTCAATTCCTCAGTACCACATAAACAGAAAAGGCCAGCACTGAGGCCTCAAGTGGTAGAGTGCTAGCCTTAAGGAGAAAAAAAAAAAAAAAAAAGAAGCTCAGGGACAGTGCCCAGGTCCTGAGTTCAAGCTCCAAAACTGGCACAAAAATAAATAAATAAAAATTAAGTTAACAGACCAAATCCACACTTAGTCACATAACCGTTCATTTTCACCTCTGTTCAGTATCAATTCTAATGCTAACTACCATCGAGGGGGAGAAAAAGTGATTGTTGGTAGTTTTCAATGAAAACACAACAGCCCATTTGAAATGAACCTTGACAGATTCAAGTTAGGGCCACAAGAGGGAGCAGTACCTTTTTGTTGTCCACAACTTTGTGGACATAGATGGTGGCTTGAGTATACTCTCTCAGATCTCTCTGCTGCTGACATAGTAAGCCTTCTCTGCATTCTGGACAGAGTTCTACAAAAAAATGAGAGGAAAAATGGCTGAAAAATCACAGTGAAAGAACTCAGACCTGAACACTTATCACTATTCATTAGTATTTACTAAATCATCAGTAATATCTTCTATTCATTGCTGTATTGTGTATGTGCAAGTAAAAAGGAAATCCATTTACTATCCTCTAGTAAATGTACAAATAATGAGACTCTATATGATAGATTCCATCCAGGGAGTCTTGACCAACACACCCTTCCTTTCTCCTTAAAATGTCCACTTTAACTATAGAAACAAACCAAAATCAAAATGAAGACTTACTAGGCTCAGAAATATACTGTGTTTCTGAAGGGTTTACATCTCCCACTTCAATTCTTGTGATTTTAATTACATGATCCACAACAAAGAGCTTTTGTATCATTTGCCACTCGCTGGGCCATATGAGAGCTATACTGTGCAAAAAGAAAACACACACACACACAACATGCCTTAAGACACAAGGAGATTAAGAGGGCTAATCTAACCATTAGTATCCCTAAATCAAAATCAACACTACTAGTCTTTAATGAACAGCAAATGCAAGAAAAGATCATCACCATCATCACTATCATGGTGCTCTCTGAATCAACACGCTAAATCCAGACACAAGGGGCCAACTATGTCAGCACAAAAGGATAAAAGATATGCCAGACATGTCAATGTGCATGCATTACTGTTCATTTTGGTTTTCTGAGCCAGTCTCACAATGCAGCCTAGGCTGGCCTTGAACTCAACATCTTCCTGCCTCTATCTCCTAAGCATGTATTATTTTTTTAAAGCATACTAAAAGAGTATCAGTGGCTCACACATGTAATCCTGGCTACTCAGGAGGCTGAGATCTGAGAGTTGTGGTTTAAGATGAGCCTGGGCAGGAAAGTCTGTTAGACTCTCATCTCCAATTAAACACCAAAAAGCCAGAAGTGGAGGTATGACTTAAGTGGCAGTGACAGCCATGAGCACAAAAGCTTAGGGACAGATCCCAGGCCCAGAACCAGCACACACACACACAAAAATAGTAATTACTTTATAATACAAAGGCAACACTGAGGGGAAAAAAAAAATCACAGATGAGTCCTTGAGGAGTGGTTTTTAGATCCAACCATTGTTGATGGCTCTTGCTCTGCCATGGTCCCGTGTTATAATCCATTCTCTACTAAAAAAAGAAGAAAGGAACTTGCTGGGACTGGTGGCTCATTCAGGAAACAGACTTGGAGGAGGAAGGTTTGAAGCCACCGTGGGAAAGATAAATCTGAGACTCCATCTCCAATTAACCAGACGGTGAGCCTAGTCAACAGGAGGAACTAAGAGGACAAAAGCCTCAGCAGCCTGGTGCCAGGTCTGGACAAGCAGCCTATCCTGTCTGTCCTCTTTTCAAGATCTAAGTGCTCACTCTGAAGAACATGTAAAAAGGCAAAATCCTGTAATTCAGTGAATGACTAGGTTCTTGAATAGATTATATTAGATGAGAAATTTTCTAAACATACTTTGTCAATTATTAGATACAGATAATCACACGAAGAGAAGAAACTCACAGTTTAGAATCTTCTTTGGTCATGGAAGCAAATGTAAACATGAGTCCCCCATGGGGACAGAGAAGGGCGCTATTTCCTACTGATGATACAGGACTACACCTCGCAGGCTTTCTATTCAAATGAAACAAAGAGAATAAACATATCTGACTACTGCATGAAGAAAAAGATACTTGACATAGTGCTTTTAAAATCAGTTACATGAGGTAGGCACTGGTGGTTCACGCCTGTAATCCTAGCTACTCAGGAGGCTGAGATCTGAGAATCTTCTGTTTGAACAGCCTGGGCAGGAGTCTTTAAGACTCCTATCTCCAATTAACCACCAGAAAACTGGAAGTAGCACTCTGGCTCAAAATGGTAGAGTGCTAGCCTTGAGCAAAAGAGCTCAGGGACAGCAGCCCCACAACAAACAACAACAACAACAAAAAGTCAGTTATATGTAATGTTAGTAATTAAATATGTTTTGGGGATTTACTTATAGAAAAGAAAGCTTCATATACATGCTAAGAAAAGTAACCCAGAAGGTTGATGTGAAAGGCACCATGGGTGCTCTAAAAAAAAAACATCAGTGAACTCAAAGAAAGGGGAGAAAGAAAATTTCTCATTTCTACCTCACAAATTTCCGCCATTCTTCTACAAAGAACTGTGACACAATATAGAGGACATCCGTGTCCTAGAATATAAAAAGCACAAAAAATCACATTGATTCACCCCATACTTAACACATTCTTTATAATTCAAAGTGGTCTTCTTTGAGTTTTAACATAAAATAAAAACTTCGCCTGTCCCAAGAAACAGCTGGAGTGAATCCTCTAGTTAGAGAATTAAACAAGCAAGAGTGAGAGCAGCTCTGGGCTGTCATGAAAGCAATTCATTGGGAATTTGGCAAAGGTCTTCACAAGCTCAGATGAAATCTTCCCTTTGTGGGATGCATTGTACCTCTGGCCAGTTATTAAGACATGGTCTGTTTTTGTCTTGGAACAAATTCGGAAGAGAACTTTTTTGCTCATTTGCAATCATCTTATGTAAGGCTTCATTTTCTTCCCCTTCTCTTTCTAAAATCTGAAAGAGAAAGAAGCAGTCAGCTGTCGCCTGCTGCCAGCACATGGTGTGCCCTGCTCTACACCCCCACTCACGTACTATGCTCACTCCCTTGGGAGGCTAACCCAAGGAGGCGGCATGCTGCTGCCACCGATGGCAGCAGAGTTCAGTACCTTGCACTGGGAGCAGCATTCTTTGTAGCTTGGAAACTCAGGGGCCTTTGGGAAGTACTGCTGTAGTTTGCTCCAAGCCTCTTTAGACACGAGCCTTCTTTCATTTTCAGATATGCATAACTCCCCTGAGTTAAAAAAACAAAACTTGGATTTAAGATGCAGAAAGTCAGTATTTCCTAGTTCTTAAACTGAAGTCTCCAAAATTCTGTGGTTTGTTCAAGTATGTAAACACAAACTCATAGACACACTCTCTAAAATGTTAATTTCATTTCACTTCCTATAGGAGTTAGTCACTGCAATTTTATATACTCTACAGAAGGCAAAAACAAATGTAGAACGCTAGACACACATTTTAAATCTTTCTCCCTAGCAATAAATAAAATACTGGCAGGGGTCTACACTTTAATGCTCCCACACTCAACAGTACAATTCCCTGCAGGCTTTTACAGACATTGGATTGTTACTGGCATCATCTTGCAAGGAAAGAATGTTCTTTTTTTTTTTTGGTCGTGGGGTTAAGCTTTGGGCCTGGGTGCTGTTCCTCAGCTCTTCAGCTCAAGGCTAGCGCTCTACCACTGGAGCCACAGCACCACTGCAGGCTTTTTCTGTTTATGTGGTGCTGAGGAATTGAACCCAGGGCCTCATTGCATGCAAGGCAAGCACCTTCCCAGCCCCAGGAAAGGATGTTCTTAAGGTTGTATAAACCTCAGTTTTTTCCTACTTAAAAGGTCTCATTGTATACCCCAGGTCCTCCTGCCTTGTTTTGCAGAGTAAGGGAACCATGGACATGAAATGGGGGGAAAGGGGAGAGTGGATCCTCAAAACCTTTCTCCAAGCTGGCCTAGAACCCAGATTTTCCAAACCTCTGCCTCTCAAGTAGCTATGTGTGAGCCAAGACACCAAACTTTCATTTTTTTTCTTTCTTGTTTTTTATTAATTACAACTCCATAAATCAGGTTATGAGTACAATGTTTCTTGAACACTTTCACCCTTCTTTGTCTCCATTTTCCCCTCTCCCAACCTTACCCTTAGTAATTTTTTTAAAAGAAAAAGGATTGAATTATCAAACTTCAAAATAATATATCCTTGTAGTAAGTAATAATGCAGCCATAAATAATGATTTAAGGTTCAAAGATGAACACTCAATGACTCACACCCATAATCCTAGCTACTTAGGAAGCTGAGATATGAGGATCATGGTTCTAAACCTGGGCAAGAAAGACTATGACACCCTTTTCTCCAATTAACCATCAACAAGCTGGAAGTATAGCTGTGGCTCAAGTGGTAGAGTGCTAGTCTTGAGGAAAAAAAAGCTCAGAGACAGTGTCTAGACCTTGAGTTCAAGCCCCATAATATCCAGTTCTTCTGTAGCTGCCATTTTAAGTCTAGTCCCTAAATGATAGAACATTGAACAAAATATTTATGATATGCTGAAGTCTAACTAACAACATGTTTATATTTTAGCTTACCATGTGGACACAGAATGTCTTCATTAAAATTTAATTCCTCCTCCTCTTCTTTTCTTTCTTCCTTTGATTCATCTAATCAAAGGAATATAGACAAAAACTGTTATGGATATTGTATTTTTAAAAGTTCAAACAGCAGATATACTACTCCACCCAATTTTAAGGAAAGAAAACATTTAAGTTGTGAAAATTATATCAAAGTGATTCCTGCAGAATTTTGCAAAGAAGTTTTGTATTATCTTTGCCTTTTAAGGCAAGAAAATTATCCCAATGACAGTTAACATTTCAAAGGTTTAGGTTATGCAAGAAAATGTGCCTTTTCTCAATTTGAAAAATTTACATATCCTATTAATTCTAGTCAAGGTGTTCAGGATGCTGGGCATAAACCAAGTTAGTCATCAACATGTCATGTCATTTTTACCTACCTACTCTGTAGGGCTTAACAGAAAGCTTTAATGCAATAAGCTCACATGAAATAAGGAATTAACTTTCGTAACAAACACACAATAAGAACTTCGCTTTTTCTGTTAACATTTCTAATTATCTGCTTTTTGTTCACACTATCATTACCAATATGTAGCTTTGAATAGTAGTAGAAAAAGAGCCAGATACCAGTGGCTCATGCCTGTAATCCTAACTCCTCAGGAGGCTGAAATCTGAGGATTGTGATTTGAAGCCATCAGAAGCAGGAAGGCCCACAAGACTTATTCCCAATTAGCTACCAAAAATCCAGACGTAAACTGTGTCTCAAGTTGGTGGAATGGTAGCCTTGAGCAAAAAAAAAACCCTCAAGCACAGTGCCTAAACCCTGAGTTCAAGCTCCAGGACCAACACAAAAAAAGTAAATAAACTATCAGCTAAAACATTTTAAATACACTTTTTACATACACAAAAAACACTTAGTAAATACATGAAAAACTTCAAGTGGGGGGAGTATAGCTCAATGAGCACAAAGACCTAGGCTTGATCCCTGGCACCATAAAAAAACCACAACAAACAACAACAACAACAACAACAAATCCTCAAACAGAAAATGGGCTAAGAAAGAACTTAACCAGATACATTCTATCTCCTCTGAGCCTCACACAAAAGTGCGAGGAAGAGACAAGAGCATTTTTTTGTTTTCGTTTGTCTTGTTTGATTATCTGTCTTTGGGGAAGAATAAGAGGGCACAGAGATGGAGGGACAAAGGGTGAACAAATGTAGCAGTAGTGCTCAGTAGACACTGTGTTGAATATGAACTATACAACCGACTAGGCAGGGACGGGAGGCAAAAACTGGGAGAGAGCAAAGGAAGGAGTAACAGTGTCCAAAAAGAAATATACTCATTTACCTGACTTATGAAACAGTAACCCTTCTGTGCATCATCTTAATAACAACAAAAATACGTATAATAAAAAGATAAAATATCATTAAAAAAATAAAGTTAAAAAATTGAAAAAATAAAAGTTACTTCTCTACTATGAAAGGGAGTCAATGTTAACAATAATTTGGGACTTTTAAGGCAGGCTTCCAGGCATTTTCATATTATGAGAGTGATAAAAACTACTGTGACGGATGTACTCTTCACATGGGTGAAAGCACACGGAAACAAGCCCTCATATACTTCTGGAGGAAACTCATCTGTATATATCAGTAGACAGCCATTATCAATTCATCTAATGGACCCAACAAATTTCTAGGAATGTGTAACTCAGAAATAACCTGAAATGTACACAGTGATACACATTTTCACACAGGATGCTCATGGCATCTGTGCCTTGTATGCTAACTGTATAAAGGTAAAATAGTATCAGTTAAATAAATACATACACACAATGAAATGCAGCCATTAAATGAAAAGAGCAGAGGGAGGGAGAGCGATATGTCTTTACATAAGCTGCATTATTAAAAGCCACCATGTGCAGTGACTACGTTACATGGGAAAACTTCAAAGTTCTACACTGGTGGTGTGTCCATGGCTTAATATCTTTCAATGATGAAAGAGAAGAAGAATATTATACTGAAAGCACAGAAAATATTCTAAAGCTATGGCAACATGGAGGCCTTTTCTACTATGGCAAAGGACTCTATTTACAATGAAAAAGTGCTAATTTGTAAAGATCTATAAGGCAGAAGAATTAACCGAATATACTAGAAGTCATGTGGTACCACAAGAACTGCAGTGATACAGTTTTCAAATGAAAGGACAATAAAACTGAGATTAATGTCCACAGATGATACTACACAACAAAAGTCTGTGATCAAAAGGGAAAACTCTTCAAATACAGGACGAGCTGGGTGCTAATCTTAGCTAATTAGGAGCTTGAGCTCTAAGGATCTCAGTTCAAGCCAGTTCAGGCAAGAAAGCCTGTGAGACTTTTATTTCCATTACACTAACAAAAAAGCAGGAAATGGAGCTGTGGCTCAAGTGGTAGAGCACTAACAAAAGAAGCTCAGGGACAGTGTCCAGGTACTGAGTTCAAGCTCCAGGATAGACAAAGAGACAGAGAGAGAGTAGAGAAGAAATGGGGGTATGGCTCTGTGCAAACAGCATGTGTGGTAGAGTGGGTAAGTGCAACTGGCAGCATCAAACCAAACTGTGAAACACAGTTCAGTGAAACCGAACACTGATATCTGCTTTGGGGTTTTCATATCTCCAAAAGCAGGGTAGTGACACAGGAAGATCCCTAGCAAACAGAATAAATGACATGCAAGCTGGGCACTGGTGGCTCACACCAGTAATCTTAGCTACTCAGCAGATTGAGATCTGAGAACCTCAATGTGAAGCCGGCCTTGCAGAAAAGTCCATGAGATTTGAATCTCTGATCAACCAGCAAAAAACAAGCTGGAAGTGGAGCGGTGGCTCAAGTGGCAGAGCATCAACTGAGTGAAAAAGCCAAGCAGGAGTATGAGGTCTTGATTTCCAGCCCTAGCACATACACAAAGTTATGCAATCCTTGCATGTAAGAAATACATACTGTAATAAACAGCTCAAGAATATAAAAATAGGGACTGGGAATGTAGCGTATTGGTAGAGTGCTTGCCTAGCATGCAGAAAACCCTGGGTTCAATTCCTCAGTACCACATACACAGAAAAAGGCAGAAGGGGAGCCGAGGCTCAAGTGCTAGTCTTGAGCAAAAGAAGCTCAGGCTCAGGGACAGTGCCTAGGCCCTGAGTTCAAGCCCCTGCCTGTATTGGCAAAAAAAAAAAAAAGTTAAAAAAATTCTTTTAATAAGGGGCTGGGAATGCTGGCGCCAGTGGCTCATGCCTGTAATTCTAGCTACTCAGGAGGCTGAGATATGTGGATTGCGGTTCAAAGCCAGCCAGGGCAGGAAAGTCCGTGAGACTGTTATCTCCAATAAACCACCAAAGAAATGGAAGTGGTGCTGTGGCTCAAGCAGTAGAGTGCTCGCCTGAGCTGAAGAGCTCAGGGACAGCGCCCAGGCCCAGAGTTCAAGCCCCACAACCAACAAAAAAAAAAAAAAAGCGGGGGGCTGGGAAGGTGGCTTAGTGGTAGAGAGTGCTTGCCTCGCATGTATGAGGCCCTGGGTACTATTCCTCAGCACCACATAAACAGAAAAAGCTGGAAGTGGCATTGTGCCTCAGGTCTTAGAGTGCTAACCTTGAGCTGAAGAGCTAAGGGACAGCACCGAGGCCCAGAGTTCAAGCCCCACAATCAACCAAAAAAAAAAATTAAAAGGAATAAAAAAGAAACTTAAAATGCATATAAATATTAATATTTGTAAAAAGGAAAAGTGGACCTGGGAATGTAGCTCATAGCAGAACACTTATATATAAGAAAAATGAAGTGACAGTAATTGCTTATGGATAATCTCTAATTACAGTTCAGTTTATGGGAAACTAACCTCTAAATTAATAAATCTGATCAAATCTTTAATCTTTGTTGTTGTTGGTTATGGGGCCTAGGTGCTGTTCCTGAGTGCTTTTTGCTCAAGGCTAGTGCTCTACCACTTGAGCTATAGCACCACTTCCAGTTTTTTGGTGTTTTGTTTTTTGGAGATAAGAGACTCATATACTTCCCTGCCTGGGCTGGCTTTGAACTTCAGATCTCAGCCTCCTGAGTAGCTAGGATTACAGGCAAGAGCCACCAGCGCCCGGCTCAAATTACTAAATTTAAGTGCCTCCCCACCTCCCACCCCATTTTTAAGGCACTGATTATAAAATTAGATTTACAATAAAAGAATTTCTTGATGTCGGTATAATTTGTGGAGGCGAAGGGAAAAAACAAATCGTTTAAATAGGTATACAGGTGGACCCATTGCAACAATGAGATATATAAGTCGTTATGTCGAAAACAAACTTTACAACTTTGGTGGGGGAAGGGGGAAGATTGGGGGGGCGGGGGAGGATGGGAAGGGATGGGAAGGGGAAACAAAGAGGAGGCTACAATGCTTGATAAGAAATGTACTCATTATCTGGCCCATGTAATTGTAACCCCTCTGTACAAAGAATTTCATACTTGCAAAAAAAAAAAAGAATTTCATACTTGCAAGTAGGGCCTCAGTTAATTCAGGCTATCTCAGAATTTGCAAGCTATTCAAACTGCCCAGTCTTTTTTTTTTTTTTTTTTTGGGGGGGGGTCCGGTCGTGGGTCTGAACTCTGGGCCTGGGTGCTGCCCCTCAGCTCTTCAGCTCAAGGCTAGCACTCTACCACTTGAGCCAAAGCGCCACTTCCAGCTTTTTTCTTATGTGGTGCTGAGGAATCGAACCCAGGGCCTCAAGCATGCAAGGCAAGTGCTCTACCACTGAGCCACCTTCCCAGCCCCTGCCCAGTCTTCTTCATGCCAAGTGCTGGTGTGAACACACATTCACTAGGCAATCTAAAACCACAATGCACTGACTCTGCTCCAATGTACAGTATAGGCTACAGCAGACTGTCCTTTCTAAAAGGCTTAAACCTGGAGGAGAATTAGTATTAATTTTCCACGTGATTCACTAGACAAAGCTTGAGCTCAAAGCATGCCTAGTTATAACAGAATCTCACATGGGAGCTGGTAAATCTTCACTGAATTTCAATAGCTGAAACTTTTATTTTTTGAGATCGTTAAAGTTTTCTTTAGGCAGGCATTGGTGGCTCATGTGTTTTTTTTGTCAGTCCTGGGGCTTGAACTCTGGGCTTGGTTGCTGTTCCTCGGCTCTTCAGTTTATGGCAAGCTCTCTACCACTTGAGCCACGGCACTATTTCTGATTTTCTGGTGGTTATTTGGAAATAAGAGTCTCACGGAATTTTCTGCCTGGGGTTGGGGTTGGCTTTGAGCTGTCATCCTCAGATCTCAGCTTCCTGAGTAGCTAGGATTACAGATGTGAGCTACCGATGCCCAGCAGCTCACGTCTTTAATCCAAGCTACTCAGGAGGCTATAATCTGAGGATCAAGTTTGAAAACAGTAAGGGCAGGAAAATCTATGAGATTCTTATCTCCAATTAAGCACCAAAAAAGCCAGAAGTGGAGGTGTGTTCAACTGTTAAGAGAACCATCCTTGAGCAAAATGCTCAGGAACAGTACCTAGGCCCTGAGTTCAAGCCCTAGGACCAGCACAAAGTTTTCTTTAAAATACATCGACAGGTAACCAATTTTGGTGAGAATAAGCCTTTATGATGTAATTCTATAGTGGTCCCACACCAGTTACCTTTACTGAAGCTGCTGCCATTCACCTTCCCGTTGCTTTGGTCTGCGTCACCATCTTGCTCATCTAGTTGTTCCAGAGCTAACTGGCGCCAACTCCGCAAGGAGGATTTTCCCACCCAAAATCCATCATTGCTACAAAACAGTGAGTGTTAAACCCATTCCCAGTGTTCTGCTCCCTTCTACCCTGCCCTGTGAAGACCATATCAAAATGAATTAGACACTATAATTTGGTTATTAATTTGTGCCCGTTCCTCCTCTGAGCCACTTTTAACTCACTCATGAACTGCAGGTATCCAGTATTTTGGTTTCACCCTCAATCCTGTTCTGTTTCTCCTATCTCCCAAGTGAATCACATCAATCAAATGGCAACTTTGTTCTGCTTGAACACTACACTCAATGTAGTTGGTATGCAGATACTTGGATATACACCTGGATATCTATGTCTATACACACATATTTGGGTACTCAGCCTAAAGAATGATCCAAAAAAAAAGTAATTAAGACTGGTCTTCATTAGAGAGATTAAAAAAAAAAAAAACTACTCTTCAACCCACACATAATCCCAATGATAAATGTCTCCACTAGCTTCTGAGTTCTGAGGTATCCCACAGTGGGGGGCTCCACATACTCTAGTAAAATGGATGATTTTAAAGACATCCTATTGAGGTCCATTTATTAACACACTTCAGCCTCATTGAAAGGGACACCACTCTTCTGGGCCAGCTGCCAGGTTTTCCCAACACAGGCTTTGCACACGTGCATGCTGTGGTATGGGTTCATGCACCTTAGTTTAGGGAATTGTCACATCCACATTCCTCAGCTTTGCTAGGGAAGAAATGCTGCTGCAGACTCAGCTTTCCTTTTGCCAAAAGAATAACTGTTGTACAATTCAGTTCTGATCTGCTTCTGCCATACATTTTATCACCTTATTTTTTAAGATAGCTAACGCCCATATTTCAACAAATAATAAGCTATTGGGATATTTTTCTTGATAATGTCTTAGTGCATCATAAACATCTGTGATACATACCCCTTTACTGTTGCTTTCAGGAGGTTGTTAACCGTTTTATAATCTTCATTTAGTTGGTTCTTTAGACGTAACACACGACAACGTTCTACTACACATTCTTTGCACAAGGCTTTCACTAGTGGTAAGAAAAAAAAGAGGAAACAGACCTCAGAATTTCTGTTAGGAACAAAACACACAGAGCTTCTAAACCAGAGTACAGATTTTGACAATACAGCAATCAGAATATATACTAAATTATTTTGATGCCCTATCAGGTGTAGGGAGCCTTTTTCTGCCATGGACCATTAGATATTTATAACATACAAAATTATCAATACAAGCAGATGGCCACAGACAGCTGAAGAAAGCAAGAGTCTGTCATATGCTGAATAATTTCTTTTTGGAGCTGTACAGGACTTGGGCTGGAAATATTTATAGTAATAGTGTTTCCTATGTAAAGAGACAAAATACTATAACATTAAAAGCACCTATACAGGCTAGGAATGTGGCTTAGTGGTAGAGTGCTTGCCTAGCATGCATAAAACCCTGAATTCAGCCGGGCGCTGGTGGCTCATGCCTGTAATCCTAGCTACTCAGGAGGCTGAGATCTGAGGATCACGGTTCAAAGCCAGCCCGGGCAGAAGAGACCGTGAGACTCCTATCTCCAATAAACCACCAGAAAACCGGAAGTGGCGCTGTAGCTCAAGTGGTAGAGCACTCGCCTTGAGCTGAAGAGCTGAGGGACAGCGCCCAGGCCCAGAGTTCAAGCCCCACGACCGACAAAAAAAACAAACCTGAATTCAATTCCTCAGTACCATATAAACAGAAACAGCCAGAAGTGGTGCTGTGGCTCAAGTGGCAGAGTGCTAGCTTTGAGCAGAAGAAGCTCAGGGACAGAATCCAAGCCCCAGGACAAAAAAAAAAAAAGGGACACCTATAACAGAGTACAAGCTTTAATAATCAAATGACTTGGAGGAGATCAATACTTCTAACAGCTCTAACTGAAATGATATTCATGTAGAAGAAATTTTCAAAGCCTAGAACCCTAAAAAGGTAGGAAGAAGGAATGAAGGACAGAATTGAAAATATATAGCTAGAAGTCATAAGAAATGCTGGACCTTTCAAAGCATTAATTCATGCATTTAAAACAAACAGAGAAATAAAAAGACTAGATGTGTATACAGAAAGCCTGAATCACATAATTAAAGTCTAGGGTTTTTTTGGTTTTCTTGTTGGTTGTGGGGCTTGAACTCAAGGCAGGGAGCTGTCCCTGAGCCTCTTCGTGTTCAAGGCTATCATTCTACCTCTAGAACCACAGCACCACTTCTGGTTTTTGAGTGGTTAATTAGAGATCAGAGTCTTTTCTGCCCGGGCTGGCTTTGAATTGCAATCCTCAGATTTCAGCCTCTGAGTAGCTAGGATTACAGGTGTGAGCCTGGCTTCTATATGACTCTTATCTCCAATAAATTACAAAAAAAAAAAAAAAAAAGTGTAAATGGTGCTGTGGCTCAAGTGATAAAGTACTAGCCTTGAACAAAAGGGGATAGGGACAGGGGCTGGGAAAGTGGTTCAGTGGCAGAGTGCTTTGCCTTGCATACACAAGGCCCTGGGTTTGATTCTTTAGCACCACATAAGCCGAAAAAGCTGCAAGTAGCGCCATGGCTCAAGTGGTAGAAAGCTAGCATTGAGCTGATGAACCCAGGCCCAGGGTTCAGGCCCCATCACTGACAGGAAGAAGGGGAAAAAAAAAACCCTCAGGAACAATGCCCAGGCCCCAAGTTCAAGCCCCCAAACCAGCAAAAATTAAAATTAAAAGATAAGAACTGAAAGAGGGGCTCACACCTGTAATCCTAACTACTCAAGAAGCTGAGATCTTAGGATTATGGTTTGAAGCCAGCAGCAGCAGGAAAGCCTGCGAGACTCTCATCTCCATTCAATTAACTAATAAAAAAAAGTCCAGAAGTAGAGCTGCAGCTCAAATGGTGAAGCACTAGCCTTGAGAAAAAAAACCTCAGGGATAAAGCCCAGGCCTTGAGTTTAAGCCTAGGACTAGTACGCACACACGTATACATTCATGCATGTGCACGCTGACACACACTGACTCACACACACACACACACACACACACACACACACACACACACACACACACACACACTAGAATGGATACTTTGTGGCTATGTATAACACTTGCATTAAAGAATCAGCAAGCATCTACTCATAAATTAAATAAACTACAGATCAAATGTTCCTAGAAATCTTCAAGTTACAGGAACATGACCAGAAGTAAACAAAGGTTCATATAAATCAACAACTGCCAGATGGGTTTTTTTTGTTTTGTTTTGATTTTTTGGTTGATTATGGGATTTGAACTCACACATGGGAGCAACCTCTCAGCTCTTTTGCTCAAGGTTAACACTCTTGACAATTTGAGCCCCAGTGCTACTTCCAGTTTTCTAATAGTTAACTGGAGAGAAGAGTCTCTCACTTTCCTGCCCAGGCTGGCTTTAAACCACAATCCTCAGATCTCAGCCTCCTGAGTAGCTAGGCTTACAGGTGTGAGCTACTGGTGCCTGCCCGATAGGTTTTTCTTTTTTTTGTCAGTTGTGGGGCTTGAATTCTGTTGTGCGCCATCCCTTAGCTCTTCAGCTCAAGGCGAGCGTTCTATCACTTGAGCAACAGAGCCACTTTCAATTTTCTGGTGGTTTATTAGGGATAAATCTCACAGACTTTCATGCCCAAAGTGGCTTTGAACCTCGATCCTCAGATCTCAGCTTCCTGAGTAGCTAGGATTACAGGCATGAGCCACTGGTACCCAGCCTCAGATGGGTTTTCTTAAAGGCTTCTATTTTGAATATTCTGCATCAATTGCTTGGTTCAATGTCTACTTTATTTAACAAATCTGTTTTGTTAAAAAAAAAAAAAAAGCTTCATTCCATGTACCCACTTGGGCCAAATCACTACAAAGCCCTGTTTCACAATCTAATGAAGATTTAACACCCATCACTCTCTTGAATTACCAGTTAGTCTTGGACCTCCTCCATATTTGCTGTAGAAAATGTCAGCTGCATACTCAGATATTCTCTTCATAATCGATATTTTATCTGGATGAAGCTTGTCATGGGAACACAGGCAAGCATGATTATCAATAGGCTTGGTAGGTGTGGATTCATCCAACCACTTCTGCAGCCATTCAAGAGAGACAAACTCATAGGGCTCTGAAGAAAAAAGGGAACAGGAAGAAACTATGTATTTTTACAGCTTTTTGACTAAGTGATAGTCATTTTCCTCAAAAGATAGCACAAACTCAGTCCAAAGTGAACAGAATCCAGAGTCACTGTTCCAAGATTTCTAACTGAGAGTGGCACAATGCTCCAGTTAACTACCATTCCTGCATTCCCAGCGCAGCGCCTGGGAACTAGTCTACACAGGGCCCTAAGAGGTCGGCTGGTATTATTAACCACATTCTACAAGAAGCATCCACAGAGAGAAGTGTCTTGCGTGATGGCACAGCAGAGCTTTGATCAGGATACCTTGCCTGACTCCTACAAGTCCCGCTCTATACCAGCTGGCAAATCTCCTGGCTCCATCCCCCACTGTTAATTCCATGAAGTATTTCCATAAACACTTTGCAGAAGGATGTGTTACACATCTATAAATTAAAGAGAGGCTAGATTGGCTAAATCAACCTTACCAGCTATAACCACATTTCATAGGCCCCTTTCAACCACTGAGCCTTTCCACATCAAGCTGTGACTGGGTGTTGACCAAGAAAAGTCACTTCTGCTCCACCAAAATCTACTCAACTTAATAATATTTATTTCAAGGAAGTAATCTTGAAGCATACTAGAACTTAAATTATTGAATTTTGAAGTTGCAAAAATTAAGACAAACCAAGAATTTCTAAGTGAGTTTCAGTTTGGGGAAAGGGAGCCAGAGAATTCCCTAAAAGCCAAAATTAAAGATAAAGGGACAACTTTGATTACTTACAAAGATCTCCCGTGAGTCCCAGCATAAAACATAGAAGAAAACATACAGAGGTTGAATTTATATATTTGTATTACATACTACTGACGAGATCTCTGGGGTAGACATGTCAATGCAATGCCCATCCTGACCACTCTCCAGAGGGTTACGCATATAGGAAACTCCCATTTTTAGTGTCAAACATTTGTTTTTACAAAACAAAATGTGCTACTATCAAATCCCTTATTTGTGCCAAAACCAAGCACGCTCAAGCCTTCAACTGAGCTCTCAAGACTCTGGTAGAGGAAGAGCACAGGACTGCCAGGTGAGGCCAAGGTCTAATCCAAGTTCTGCCACTGAGAAACTGAACTTGAGCAAGTCACTTAAACTCTCTATGTCCAGGTCTTTAATTTGTACAATGAAGGTAATAATACCTGCCTTCTACCTACCTCACAGAGATGTTGTGGAGTGTAAAAGATAAGCTATGTGAAGTATTTTGAGCTTTTTGGAAGAAAAGAGATACAGAAAAGTTAATTATACATTCACACAATATATAAAAGAGGACACCTTAAGATGTAGAACAGGCACAATAGTTTTGGCATCCTACAACTGGTCCCTGAATGGCTAATTACATTCAACATACCTCCCATTTTTACTTGCCATTTGTCAGATTTAACCTGCAGGCCTACAATACTTGGGAATCTGGAGACTATAGGACAAAATTCAAGAATAATTCTCCAGATTTCTGGCTTCCAAGTGGGTGGGGAAGGATGCATGGAGTGCAATGCCCACTGCTTTTTTTTTGGGGGGGGGGGGGATCGGTTGTGGGGCTTGAACTCTGGGCCTGAACACTGTCCCTCAGCTCTTCAGCTCAAGGCGAACACTCTACCACTTGAGCTACAGTGCCACTTCCTGTTTTCTGGTGGTTTATTGGAAACAGTTTCATAGACTTTCCTGCCAGGGCTAGCTCTGAACCATGATCCGAAGATCTCAGCCTCCTGAGAAGCTAGGATTACAGGCATGAGCCACAGGCGCCCAGTTGCCCACTGCTTTTAACAGAATGAATAAAACTTCAGAATTCAACTATGACAAGGAAAAAGAAACTGGGCTATCTTATCAAAGTGCATAAAGAACTCCTTGCCAGGTGTAATCTATGGGAATTCAAGGCCCAGGGTGACTATAACCCTGACCTGAAGAGCAACAGTGGGAATTGAGATAGGAGGGTCAATTTTTTTAAATACTCTATTACAGTCAGAGAGAAAACTTCTGAACCAAGATTATTGTTTGGTTTTCCAAAATTCAATATGAAAAACACTAGGAAAAAAATCAGAAAAATCATGTATGATTTTATGTAAGATAAGGAAGAAAGAACAGTCAGAGTCTAAGTCTGCTCTAACATCATGCTGTCAGTTTTCTAGATTTCTAGGTTTGGTAGGCAGTGACTGAGACTATACAGGTCTGATTTCCATTAGCCATCTCTACCACCATAAAGAGTTGTATAGATTGCTAAGAGCTAACAAAGACTACTGACAGTAATTTTTACACTAAAGACCCGTGGCAAGGTACCAAAGATTTTTTTTGGTATTTGCAATTCAGTAAACCACCTAGTATTGCCTTAAAAAGCTATTTTGTGGGGCTGGGAAGGTGGCTCAGTGGTAGAGCGCTTGCCTTGCATGCTTGAGGCCCTGGGCTCGATTCCTCAGCACCACATAAGCAAAAAGAAAAAAGCCAGAAGTGGCATTGTGGTTCAAGTGGTACAGCACTCGCCTTGAGCTGAAGGACAGCATCCAGGTCCAGAGTTGAGGCCCCACGACCAGACCCCCCCCCCAAAAAAAAACCAAAAACGATTTTGTATCCGGGGGAGATATTAGATGTATGAAATTTCAGTGTTTAATGGACCCAAAAAAGTAACTTAAGGGCTGGGAAGGTGGCTCAGTGGTAGAGCGCTTGCCTTGCATGCATGAGGCCCTGGGTTCGATTCCTCAGCAGCACATAAGCAAAAAAAAAAAAAAAAAGCCGGAAGTGCTGCTGTGGCTCAAGTGGTAAAGCGCTAGCCTTGAGCTGAAGAGCTGAGGGACAGAGCCCAAGCCCAGAGTTCAGGCCCCATGACTGGACTCAAAAAAAGAAAAAAAAAAAAAAGTAACTTAAAATATTTGGCAAGAAGGAGTATTAGAAATAACCGAAGTTCAAAAGAATGCTTGGCTTTTTAATGGAATAAATTGTGAAAAGTTAGAGTCTAAAGCAGTAATGATATCAAAAACATTTACAATACTTTAAAAATTCTAATTTAAATAACCAGGACCAAAAGGATAGGTATTTCCAATGTGGCTTAGATTTTAGGATAAGTGGCCCATTTTTGTTGTTGTTGTTATTGTTTTTTGTCAGTCATGGGGCTTAAACTCAAGACACCTAGCCACTGTCTGTGAGCTTTTTCAAACAAAGCTAGTGTTCTATCACTTTGAGCATGGTGCCACTCCAGTTTTCTGGTGGCCAATTGGATGAAGATAAGAGTCTCATGGATTTTCCTGCCCAGGTTGCTTTGAACTGCGATGCTTAGATTTCAGCTTCCTGAGTAGCTAGGATTGCCAGTGTGAGCTACTAGCACCTGGCTAAGCGGCCCAATTTTTAAATATGTTGTACCAAGACTGGATTTTAAAACTGTACAATAGAAGAGTCTTAACTGGCAGCAGGAAACCTTGGTCATTGACTTTGAACTTTTACAACATTTTAGAGCAAAACAGACTTCACTTTACTATGTAAGTTTTACTATGTAAGGAAATAAAAAAGAAATGTAAAGTGCTTGACAAAAGTATAAAAGACAGAAATAAGCATAAACATAAGCATAGACTCTGATACACTAAGCATTATTAGAAGCACCGTGCTGTTAACTTGAACTACGTAAATAAAGAATGGTTCCAATGGCATTTATTTTTATTTTTTGGTCTATCATGGGTCTTGAACTCTGGGCCTGGGCGCTGTCCCTCAGCTCTTCAGATCAAGGCTAGTGCTCTACCAATTGAGCCACAGAGCCACTTCTGGTTTTCTGATGGTTTATTGAAGAGTCTCACACTTTCATGCTGGGACTGGCTTTGAATCACAATCCTCAGATCTGAGCTTCAGGAGTAGCTAGGATTATAGGTGTGAGCCATCCAAGCCCAGTTCCTTTTTTTTTTTTTTTAACTCAGAGCCTGAGCATTGTCTCTGAGTTTTTATGTTATGCTTAAGGCTAGAAACATATCACTTGAGCCACAGCTCCACTCCTGGTTTTTTCCTTGTTCATTGGAGGTAAGTTTCTCATGGATTTGTCTGATGGAGCTGACTGTGAAGCTCAACTCTCAGCCTCCTGAGTAGCTAGGATTATAGGCATGAGACACTGGGGGCACCCAGCCAATTTTTCATTTTAATGTCCTGGGATCCAAACCAGGGCCACTCCTAAGCTAAAAAAGTGTGCTACTACTGAGCTTCACCCTCAGTTCTCACTATAGTATTCCTCTTTAGGTTTTGGGGAAGTTCTTTTCTGTTGCATAGATCCCACCTCCTTTGAACAGAACTGTGCGTGTTCAGTAATGGGAACCATGGGTTTATTTCAAGTCATTTCCTAGTAGATAAAGGTCAATGCAATACTTTCAGATAATGCCAATCTTCAAACAGAGTGAATGTCAATCTTTAAGCAGAGTGAATGTAACAGCTTATAAAGAATCAAAAATAGTTAAGATATTTGTTGCTGTTATACTGGGGATTAAAACCAGCTCTGTGCTAAACATGTGATTAACTTCTAGAGAGTTTGAGAAACTATTCTTACAAATTTAGTATTTGTAGTCACCTTTGGTTTTTACAATTATGCCAGTGATGGAAAATTAAGATATAAAAAAGATAAGGCATAATCATGCTTGATCATTTATTTCCTGTTAGAACTCAATTTATTCTCTTATGTAAAAAGGAGTAAGGTCTGAGGAATCTAAAGTGACCAGGGGCATATATACCTTAAAAGCATTGGCTTCTTTAACAGTAGGTAAACGTGAGTAGACACAATGGGAAAGGATGAGCTGGGCTGAGTGGGTTATTTCTAAGGAACCAAAGAGGAACTAACTAGAAAGCTTTTCTACTCCTAGAACATTTGTGGTTCCATTTCAAGTTAATCTAATAATATTAAAAATTGTTACTGATAGAAAAGTAAAGTAACTATGCCTATCTTAGGTTAAGATAAATAGTATGTGAAGAAAAAGAAAATTTCAGTAGTATTTAAACCAGATCTGTGTTTACAAAGAAGTAAAACAGCTAGGGGTATGTGTCAAGCACAAATCTATGTTAGGTAGGCAGAATACTTCCCTAAAAAATGAAAATAAAAATGTAAGATGCTATACAGCACACATATCATGGCTGGTTTACACTGTAATTTCAGAGTACAATTTCTGACTTTTGTGGGTTATAAGGGAAGGGAAAAATTTGCTCATACACATTTTTTTGTGAACATGAAAACACAAGACACTTCTATGGCAATAGTGCTATGCTAGAATATCTTACAGACCAGCTCCAGCAGGTAACCTTTGGTACAGCTCCTGAACTTCTTCATGCTTTGCTTTTCCTTTATCCACACTTTGCTTACGCATGTCAGCCATTTCAATGCACCACTCCTCAAACTTGGAATTATCGCGATCTACCAGCTCTTGAAGAAAAGCTATTCAAGAGAGAAATATAAGAGATTATCTTGTTGGTTTTTTTTTTTTTTGGTCAGTCATGGGGCTTGACTCTGGGTCTGGGTGCTGTCCCTCAGCTCTTTTAGCTCAAGGCTAGCACTCTACCACTTGAGCCACAGTGCCATTTCCAGTTTTCTGGTGGTTTACTGGAGGTAAGAGTTTCACAGACTTTCCTGCCCAGGCTGGATTTGAACCACAATCCTCAGATCTCAGCCTCCTCAGTAGCTAGGATTATAGGTGCCAGCCAAAGAACTGGCTGAGAAGGTGGCTCAATGGTAGAGTGCTTGCCTTGCATGCATGAGGCCCTGGGTTCTATTCCTCAGCACCACATAAGCAGAAAAAGCCAAAAATGGCACTGTGGCTCAAGTGGTAGAGCACTAGACTTGAGCTGAAGAGCTCAGGGACAGTGTCCCAGCCCAGAGTTCAGGCCCCACAACCAACCAACCAAAAAAAAAAAGTCAAAAGAATCAGCTAGGCAACAGTGGCTCACACTTATAATCCTAGCTACGCAGGAGGCTGAGCTCTAAGGGCCAGGATTCAAAGCCAGCCCAAGAGGAAAAGTCCCTATAAGACCCTTCTCTCTAATTAAACACTCACAGACTAGAAGAGGAGCTTTGGCTTAAGTGCTAAAGCACTAGCCTTGAGCAAAAGAACTCAGGGAAAGTGCCCAGACCTTGAGTTCAAGTACTACAACCAATCAAAAAAAAAAAAAAAAAGCCGGGTAACAGGCTCACGCCTGTAATCCTAGCTACTCAGGAGGCTGAGATTGGAGGATCGAGATTCAAAGCCAGCTGGGACAGGGAAGGGTTATCTCCAATAAACCACTCGAAAACCTGAAGTGGCGCTGTGGCTCAAGTGGTAGAGCACTGGCCTTGAGCGGAAGAGTGCAGGGACAGTACCTAGGCCCAGAGTTTAAGCCCCACAACTGACAACAACAACAAAAAAAGAGCCGGGCGCTGGTGGATCACGCCTGTAATCCTAACTACTCAGGAGGCTGAGATCTGAGGATCGAGGCTCAAAGCCAGCCAGGGCAGGAAAGTCTGTGAAATGCTTATCTCCAATAAACCACCAGAAAACCAGAAGTGGCGCTGTAGCTCAAGTGGTAGAGCACTATCCTTGAGTTGAAGAGCTGAGGGACAGCATTCAGGCCCAGAATTCAAGCCCCACGACCGACAAAATAAATAAATAAATAAATAAATGGAAAACCATGCTGATCTTTAAATGGTATCAAAAACTGGACAACACAGTTTGGTGGGAACTACCTAGTATGCATGGTCTCTCTTCTGTTAAAGAGCTCCAAAGACAAAACTGAAAAGGATACCCACTGAAATAAAACCTAAGTGACCTGCCTCAACTAGTTCTCAACACCATCAATCACTCAAAATGAGAAATGGTTCAAAAATACCACTTCAAAACAGATACCACAGCTTGCACATAAGTACTAGGTAAAATGATACAACTGCCTTCAGGCCAGTAGCATCAACTCTTGCTTAATAAAATAAAACCAAATGTCAATTACCTTTTGGGATTTCAGTGTTTGTGCATGTGCATGTAAGCCAGTCCTGGGGCTTAAATTAAGAATTTGAGTACTGTCCCTTAGCTTTTTTGCTCAAGGCTAGTGCTCTACCACTGGAGCCATACCTCTACTTCTGACTTTTTGGTGGTTAATCAAAGGAAGGAGTCTCAAAGACTCTCCTGCCTGGGCTAACTTTGAACTGTGATCCTCAGATTTCAGCCTCCTGGGTAGCTTGGATAATAGCATGAGCCAAAAATAAAAAGTTGAGCTGTAGCTTAAGTGGTAGAGTAGCCTTGAGCACAAAAGTTCAAGGACAGTGTCTAAGCCCTGAGTTCAAGCCCCATGACCAGCGCACACAAGCACACACACTTATGCATGCATATAAGCACAACTTCCACTGACATTTACCATATGGAATCAAATTCATACTAGAAGCAACCTGGTGTCTGTCATTAACTTTTGGGTATCTCATTCTAAAACATCTGCCTGATATAATCCTGGGAATGAGATTACCTGGGACTTGAATTGTGGTGTTGGGCTTTTCTTGGGTTTGCAGTCTATAAACCAACATGTACGCATTCCGAGAGCAATGTGTTCCTTTGCCACACTTCGGTTTCCGTGTCTGAGACTTGGAAGGTTCTGCTGGGGAAGAGAAATAAACAATGTAACTAGATCACCAAGGGTTTGTTTAGGCTTTAGTGGGACACAATTTCTAAAATACTTATGAAAGACATGGTAACATGGAATTAAAACATTTTAAAAAGCCAAACAAATATATTGAGGTCATTAAATCGGGGAGATATTTTTTAAATGATTATTATCTACTCTCACCTGCCATTTTCCAATTTTACAAGATGTAACCAAAGTACGTTTTCTGAGGACAAATCTGGAATAAAGCACTACTACTATGTTATTATTTTAATATTAGTTTTAAATTCAATTAAATTCAGACTAACATCACCATTGAGGGTACAAAGGATTACATACAATATTCACGATAATTTTCAATAGCTTAAGCTACAAAAAATGGTGAAAATTTCATTTAAAGTCAACCTGTACTAAATACGGAGATCCTGTCTCAAAAAGAAAAAAAACAGAAAGTTATGGAATCTGAAAAGTCATTTTAGATTTTTACTACTTTCCCATTTTCTAGTTGTCCTGCTTATATCTACTTGTTGAACGACATTTAATTTAGTTAAAAACTAAATTCAGCCAGGCACCAGTGGCTCACACCTTTAATCCTAGCTACTCAGGAGGCTGAGATCTGAGGATCATGGTTCAAAGCCAGCACAGCAGGAAAGTCTATGAGACTCTTATTTCCAATTAACCACCAGAAAACCATAAATGGCGCTGCTACGGCTCAAGTGGTAGAGCACTGCCTTGAGCTGAAGAGTGGAGGGACAGTGCCCAGGTTCAGAGTTCAAGCCCCATGACCAACCAAAAAAAACAACAAAACTAAAATCAACTGCTGAAGGCATATAGTTCATGTGGTAGAACATTTGCCTAGCAAACCTTTTAGAGAGAAAAAAGAGAGGAGAGGAAGAATGAGGGGATAGAAAGGAAAGAAAGGGGAGAGGGGAAGTAGAGAGGAGAGGAAGGGAGAGGGGGGAAGAGGGGAGAAAGGGGGGAGAAGAGAGAAGGAAGGGGGACAAAAGAGATGGGGCCAGAGAGATGGAGAGAAAGGGAGAGAGGGGGACAAAAGGGAGAAAGGGAGAGATAGGGAAGAAAGAGAGGGAGAGAAGAGAAAGGGGAAGAGAAAGGGAAACAAAGAGGAGGGGGAGGGGAGGGAGAAGAAAGGGGAGAGGGAGAGAGGAAGACAGAGAGAGAGAGAGAGAGAGAGAGAGAGAGAGAGAGCACATGTGCCAACAGTGAGGCTTAAACTCCGGTCCTGAGTGCTGTCCCTAAACTATTTTGCTCAAAACTTGAACCACAGCTCCACTTTTGGCTGATGGTTAACTGGAGATAAGTCTCTTGGATTTGCCTGGACTGGCTCTGAAAACATCCTGAGCAACTATGACAAGAGGCACGAGCCAAAGGCATCCAGGTTAGTAGTATGTAACAATCCTGAGCCATAATAATGTAGCAAAAATATTTCTAGTAACAAAATAATTTGTATTTTAAAAGGGCACTCACAACTTAAAGGTTTTACCTAGATCTTCCTCAATCCCTAGCTGCAATTTCTTCCCCTCCATCTTTTCTATGTCTTCATCATTAAACTTATACCATTCGCCAGACTGTGGATCTTTCACATGGGCAATGTAGTGGCCAGAATAAGCACTCACTCCTCTATGTATGAGAACCGCACTGAGCTCATACACGTAAGAGCCACCTGCACAGGGAGAAAGGGAAAATGGAATAGATATTTTGGACAATACTAGTCTTGAAGCTCAAGTACAAGCTGCAACGATTATACATCTTAACACTTCTGATAGAATTTAAAATGTCAGCTAAGATAAACTAATTTTTAGTCTTACAAACTAAAGCAGCAGACCTTACCTTAAACAGAGTACTATTTTCAAATCTCCATTGCCTGTATAAGTTATGTCCACATAAAACACAGAATCAGGGCATTCAGGATTGATAAACTGAAGCACAATGGACCTTATCCTAACTAGTTAGGGCCATATGCTTACCAAGAAACAAGTGTTCACACTTAATTGAGCATTGGTGGCTGATGTCTGTAATCCTAGCTACACAGGAGGCTGAGATTTGAGGATCAGGGTTCTAGGCCAGCCCTAGCCAGAATGTCAATGAGACTTTTTAGTTGGTCATGGGGCTTGAACTCAGGGCCTGGGCACTCTCCCTGAGCTTTTTCACTCAAGGTTAGTGCTCTACCACGCTGAGCCACAGGTGGGCCACTTCTAGTTTCCTGGTAGTTGATTAGAGATAAAAGTCTCAGGGTTGCTAGGCGCTAGTGGCTCCCACCTGTAATCCTAGCTACTCAGGAGGCTGAGATCAGCCCAGGCAGGAAAGTCCATGAGACTCTTATCTCCAATTAACCACCCAAAAAGTGGTGCTGTGGCAAGTGGTACTGTGGCTCAAGTGGTAGAGTGCTTACCTTGAGCTGGAGAGTTCATCTAGGTCTAGAGTTCAAGCCCCATGACCAACCAAAAAAACAAACAAACAAAAAAAAGCCTCAGGGACTTTCCTGCCCAGGCCAGCTTTGAACTGAGATCCTCAGAGCAGCTAAGTTTACTGGTGTGAGCCATCAGAGCCACTGTGAGACTCTTATCTCCACAATATACCACTAAAAAACCAGAAGTGGAACTGTGACTCAAGTAGTAGAGCACCGGCCTTGAGTGAAAAAGCTAAGGGATGGTGGCTCACGCCTGTAATCCTAGGTACTCGGGAGGCTGAGATCTGAGGATCACAGTTCAAAGCCAGCTCAGGCAAAAAAGTCTGAGATTCTTATCAAATAACCCCCCAGAAAACTGGCAGTGGCGCTGTGGCTCAAGTGGTAGAGCACTCACCTTGAGCTGAAGAGCTGAGGGACAACACCAAGGCCCAGAGTTCAAGCCCCACGATTGACCGCCCCCCCAAAAAAAAAGAGATCTGAGGATAGCAGTTCAAAGTTAGCCCAGGCAGGAAAGTCTGTGAGACTATTTTTTTTTTGCGCCAGTCCTGGGACTTGAACTACTGTCCCTGGGCTCCTTTTGCTTAAGGCTAGAGTAGAGCCACAGTGCCACTTTTGGCTTTTCCTGTGATTAATGGGAGTTAAGAGTCTCACAGACATTTCTGCCCAGGCTGGCTTTGAACTGCAGTCCTCAGATCCCAGCCTCCTGAGTAGCTAGGATTATAGGCATGAGCCACTGACACCAACCCAATGGAGTCAGGACAACAATATTTAGACTAAGATAACAAGTACATGAGTTTAGGCTAGCAAAACACCTTTGTCATTCTTTAGGATTAACTTTTAGGCCCTTAGTCATATTGACTTAGGTGCTCTACTGAGAGGCAATGTGAGAAACATCTCCCCTAAATGCCTTTGTTTTCAGAGGTTAGCAAATATTTGTTACTCATCACAAGATCACAAGTTACAGCTCTGAGCATTATAATCATCACTGCTTGTTTAAAATTTACCTTTATGTTCCACATAAGGCTCCATATCCAAAATTTCTGAGAAGCCAATGTAGGTATTCAGCTTTTTTTTATGTCCAGTTTGCCTAACCAAAAGAAAAGCTGATTACATTTATATATACCACAGACAGAAAACAATTAGAAAACATGGATAAGCTCTACCAGGGTTTTGGGTTTTTTTGGGGGGGGAAGGGGGGTCAGTGTGGGGCTTGAACTGAGGGACTCAGGCCCTTTGTACTCAAGGTTAGCACTCCACCACTTGAGCCACAGCACCACTTCTGTTTTTTTGAGTGGTTAATTGGAGATAAGAGTCTCACAGGGACTTTTCTGCCCAGGCCAGCTTTCCAACTGCGATCTTCAGATCTCAGTCTCCTGAGTAGCTGGGATTACAAGTGTGAACCACTGGTGACCAGCTCTTTCTACCAGATTTTTTGTCGGGGGGGGGGGAGTGGAAGAGAGGGGAGGTATGCTTAAACTCAGGACCTGGGCACTGTCCCTGAGCTTCTTCTGCTCAAGGCTAGCATGCTACTACTTGAGCCACAGCGGCACTTCTGGCTTTTTATGTTTATATGGTACTGAGGAATCACACCCAGGGCTTCATGGATGCTAGGCAAGAACTCTACCACTAAGCCACATTCCCAGCCCTCTACCAGGTATTTTAACAAACTCAACAGCAGCTAGATTTCACTTAGCATTGTAATAATTTGTATGTATGATCAGTAAACAATTCTGCTTTATGGAGAAACAAAGGAGGAGGCTACAATGCTTGATAAGAAATGTACTCATTATCTTGCCCATGTAATTATAACTCCTCTGTACAGTATTTTCACAATTAAAAAAAAAATTCTGTTTTATGACTGTGCAAAATAATAATGAACAGCATAAAAGGCTTAAGTTCCAAATATAGCTTATATCAAGAGAACACTGGACATGTGCAAAACTGCTTTCAATTAAGTTACAAGATGAAAAATACAGTCCCTTGGAAGAGAAGATATTATTGTATAAAAATTTCCTGCACTGCTGGGTGCCGGTGGCTCACGCCTGTAATCCTAGCTATTGAGGAGGCTGAGATCTGAGGATCATGGTTCAAAGCCAGCCCGGGCAGAAAAGTCTGTGAGACTCTGATCTCCAATAAACTACTAGAAAACTGGAAGTGGCATTGTGGCTCAAGAGGTAGAGCGCTTGCCTTGAGCTGAAGAGTGCAGGGACAACACCCAGGCCCAGAGTTCAACCCCTACAACCAACAACAACAAAAAAAACTTCCTGTACCATATTACATATAATAAAAGTGTATCAAGGTAATTCAGTTATTTGCAGTTTTTAGTAATTTCTTAACAAAAAAAGTAAAAATTCCCTAGTTACTCAGAAAGCTGAGATCTGAGGGTCACGGTCTGAAGTCAGCCAGGGTAGGAAGTCTGTGAGACTCTTATCTTCAATTAACTACTAGAAAACTGGAAATTGCCCTATAGCTCAAGTGGTAGAGCATTTAGCCTCAAGCAAAAAAAGCCCAGAGACAGTACCCTTGAGACCACCACCACCAACAAAACGTAAACTCTCCTACTTCTATAGTTCTCAGCTCTACACAGTTGGCTTGTTTAAATTTTTTTTTTTTTTTTTTGTCGGCCGTGGGGCTTGAACTCTGGGCCTGGGCGCTGTCCCTCAGCTCTTCAGCTCAAGGAGAGCGCTCTACCACTTGAGCTACAGCGCCACTTCCGGTTTTCTGGTGGTTTATTGGAGATAGGAGTCTCACGGTCTCTCCTGCCCGGGCTGGCTTTGAACCGGGATCCTCAGATCTTAGCCTCCTGAGTAGCTAGGATTACAGGCGTGAGCCACCAGCGCCCGGCTAAAATTTTTTTACTTATAAAACCATGACATTTTGAAATATTGGTATTTCAAGATCATAGGCATCATCTATACAGGACATTGTAAAATCCTCAACTTTTAAAGTTCAATTATTTTATTATCTCCTTCCCATGGCCAATCTGCAAGTCTGACAAAGACCCTCGGTACTTGAACATATTTACCTGTCAAAGACAAAACGCATGAGCTGCAAGTTCAGAGTGCAAGGAAGGCTAAGGAGTCGAATCTTTCTCGTAGCATTCTGTTTGCTTTGACAATTTTCACAAAAGTATCGATTGTCTCCTTCTAATTTTTCTTCCTGATCAGGAAATAAGACGTGGTTAAAAAAGAAGATACCAGCCAGGCACCAATGGCTTACAACTGTAATACTAGTTACTCAGGAGAGATCTGAGGATGATGGTTCAAAACTAGCCCTGGGCTGGGAATGTGGCTTAGAGGCAGAGTACTTCCCTAGCATGCATGAAGCCCTGGGTTCAATTCCTCAGTACCACATAAATAAAGACAGAAGTGGCATTGTGGCTCAAGTGATAGAGTGCTAGCATTGAGCAAAAGCTCTGGGGTAGTTCCCAGGCCCTGAGTTCAACCCCAGGGCTAGGAAAAAAGTAAAAAAAATTAAGCTAGCCCTGGCAGGAAATTCTGTGAGACTCATCTCCAATAAATTAAAAAAAAAAAAAAGTAGAGACCCACAAGATTAACAGTAACTTAGCTCTAATATTATCAATTTATTTGCAATGATATTTAAAGTAATATGATTTTTTAACACAAGGTGTGTGTTTTTTTAAAGAAATGTAGTGCTATGGTCTCCCTGATATGTGGATGTTAAATCCAAAATGCAAGGAGATATGACAAAGAAAACAGGACTCGAGAAACAAAGGACCTCCACTCAACTTGTCCTATCAATTCTAAATGACTCCATGTTCTTGACCCTATATATGGATGGGAGGGTAGCTAGGAGGGCCCAGAATTAAAAGGAAATGGGAAAATATGCAACAGAAGGGCCCATCAACTGCACTGGACATTGATGAAAACAGACTAAGCAACTCAAGGGCACTGATGGGAGGGAGGGAATGAGAGGGAGAGAGGGAACAGCTGACACTAAGCAAAAGGAAAGAAATGTACATATCACCTGATGTGGAAGAAACAGTTGTATTGTCAAAGCTCATAGAATTCACAAACCATATACCATGATAATGACAATTTGCTTTGTGAATGTTAAAATGTGTTTGTGAATTTAACTAAGTATCACATCTCACAATACTGTGAAATTTGCGAAATTTATGTAATCACTTAATCTCAATAAAAAAATTATTAAAAAAAAAAAAAGAAAGAAATGTAGTGCTAAATGCTCACAGCTGTAATCCTACTCAGGGTCCCAGCTACTGAACTTTTGCTTCATACAAAGTACTCAGGAAATATTCAGCTGAATATATTCAACAGACCATTACTTCAGGCATTCTAATATATGTTCTAAAGAAGTAGAAAAGCACAATATTTTAAGACAGGAAGCTGTATACAATATGTTCAACTATTACCAACATGTCATACTTGGCAACTAAAATTTCCTCTAGAAGTTTCCCATTAAGTCAAAAAGGAACGACACTATACCTCTCTCTATATAAAGTAGTGGGGGAAGCAGGGCTCAAGTGAGTGGTCTGCCAAGCGAGTGTGATATTTTACTTCCAAACCTTAGTACTACTCTGTGCATGTGTATAAAATGTAAAAATATGGCATGTAGGATTATAGAAATATGGAGTGAAAGCTAGGCGCCAGTGGCTCACCCATGTAACCCTACCTACTCAGGAGGCTGAGATCTGATGATCTCAGTTCAAAGCCAGCTCGGGCTTATCTTATCTCCAATAAACCACTCAGAAAACTGGAAGTGGCACTGTGGCTCCAGTGGTAGTGTGCTCACTTTAAGCTGAATAGTGCCTAGGCCCAAAGTTCAAGCCCCATGACTAACAACAACAACAAAAAATGTATTTAGTCAATGACTCATGCCTGTAATCCTAGCTACTCAGGAGGCTAAGATCTGAGGACTAAAGTTTGAAGCCTTTCTGGGCAGGAAAGTCTGTGAGAATCTTATCTCCAATTAAACACCAAAAAAACCAGAAGTGGGGCTGTGTCTCAAGTCATGAAGCACTAACCTTGAGCAAAAAGGATCTGGGATATTACCCAGTCCCTGAGTTTAAGCCTTAAGGCATTAAAAAAAAATGTATTTAATGCTTCCTAACTGTCATTATATGAAAAGGAAAATGCTGGGCTGGGAAGGTAGCTCAGTTGATAGAGTGCTTGCCTTGCATGCACGAGGCCCTGGGTTTGATTCCTCAGGACCACATAAACAGAAAAAGCCAGAAGTGGTGCCGTGGTTGGTTCAAGTGGTAGAGTGCTAGCTTTGAGCTGAAGAGCTGAGGGACAGAGCCCAAGCCCAGAGTTCAAGATCCACGACCAACAAAAAAAAAAGGAAAATGCTGTGTATATAGTTATATGTTGTACAAAAATACACAACTACACACAAAGTAACTTGCAGTAGCCAAAAATTACTTTAAGATGCTGCCTGTGTCAGTACTTGGTATTTCATGCACAGAAAAAGCTGAACTAGTCAAATAATAATTTAATCAAAATACCATTCAGAATAGCATATAACTATTTTTGTATGTTTTTTGTTGTAAAAATGCTGTACAGAAGGAGCAAATAACTCTTAATGAGTAGCAACAATATATAATCAAAATTTCAATACCTTTAAAAATTCTGAGATACAATCTGTTAACTGTTTATGGCCTTGGATATTTAACTCCAGTTCATAGAACTTTGATAAAAGCTTAGATTCTCTGCCACACTGATTGCAACTACAATAAAGAGTGATAAAATTAAGATTAGAATGAGACAAGCAATAAAATACTATTGTATCACATTCTAGAAAGACATAAAAAAACTTATAATCGTAATTTGTTCTCTCTCATAAAAATTATGCTATATATTACAAGTTAGATTAAAAACAGAAAGTGTCTGGTGAGACCTAGTACTGTATGCATGGGAAATCCAAAAGAAGTACTATACATTTACTCTTAGTTTTCTAGCCAGCTCTAGTCTTCCTCTTTGAAATCACTCCACACAGTCTGTATACAGTGAATGGCAAGAGTTGAATCAGATGCAGTTCCCAACACCTCGTTGGGGCCAACTGCAATTAGCAAGTCAGTTGTTTACCCGTTCCTGTAGAAACGCACTGCTATAAATACTTCAGGTCCCATGATAACCCACAAAGGCAAAACAGATCTGGACTGAAAATCAGACAACATACAAGCAACAGTCTTACAATAAAATGTACCATGAAAAAGTCGGAATAGACTCACAGTTACATACAAGTACTCCCCACAGATCTGCCAAAGTCAGAACAACTTACACAGTTACATATGCGTACTCCCCACAGAACTGCTGCTGCACAATGTTCCTCACATCTGGATTCTTTTGTTTAGACAATGTATCTTCCAACAGAGACATAAAGAGCTTAGAAAACTCCTGAGCATCCTATAAATGTGAATAAAAAGAAAATTTCTATCTTGTTTGACAAGCTCTAATACAAATTTTACAGGTTTCAGAAACTTCCTATCCTTAGCATTTTAAAAGAAGGACTGCAGCTATGGTGAGTCAGTTTGAGCCCACATGTTTATTTTCAGAAGTGCAATCAGGTGTAAAGTATATATTAAGTAGCAAATAAAGACACTGATAACCAAAAACAGAAAAATATTAATTCTTAAAAAGCATTCTATTTCATCCTACTTTATGAACATGAAAAAAAGAACACTTAGGTCTAAGGTCTGCGCCAGGCCATGTAGGCCCTGTGCAGACACCTCCCAACCTCTTGGCTAAGTTTCTGCCCAGTATCTCTGTTACCTAGGTAATTGGCACACCTGGAAATAGTCACCTCCCTCCTGCTAGGTTATATGCTGGGTGGCCCTCAGATCACACCTCCCATGTGACCATAGGAGGGTCCCAGACCGAGGGCACATCCAGATCCAATGTGGTCACACCTTTTCCCCACCAGGTCACATCTCTTCCTGTCCCTGGCCTAGATAACTCCTGACCTGGGGGTGGGTCTCCCCTCTTTCGACCATTTCCTCTCCACCACTATGCATGGCTGGGGCAGCAGTTCAGTAAATAAACTTCTTTTCCTGCCTGAACAGCATGTGGTGTTCTCTTCATCGGCTATTTAATATACCTTACATTAAGTACTTCTGAATGCCAAAAATATTAAAAATATTTCCTACCTGCTGTTGCCCAGTGTCCAAGCCCAAGGCTTTCACAAATCCTGAAGGATCAATGTATCGTCTATTGCTGTTTTGCAGCAAAGCAAACAGGTATTGGAGATGCTCACAAATTGTCTGAGGCTCATAATCTATTAATAGAAAAGTATAAGGTTTTCCTGTTTCTCCCTTGGGCAGGGTGGCTACATATATGCATGAGCATCTATGCTTAAGTCAGCCTGAACTACATAGTGTCAGACTTGTTTCAAATGCACACACCCCTCTCCAGAATATTTGTAAATGTTTTACAAACACTATTAAAGGCTTTATTTATAAACTATTAATTAAGAACTATAGGAATGAAGCATCATACTTATAGCGCCTTCCCCTTTCCTCGTCACCTGCCAGAAACTAGTAATCACCTGACGGTGAGTCAGCAAAGGACCCCAGACTCCGAGGTCACTTCCACATCCACTAAGGTCATTTCCTGAACCACCTTAGCCATGCCCCCCCCAGATAGTGAAAGGTTCCCCAGGCTGTGGTCCCACCTCTGGCCTCCCATCTTTCCCTGTATCATCTAGCTCAATATGAATTCCCTCCTCTTTTTCTCTTTTTCCTTTCCATCTCTTTCTGTATACCTCCATCTCTTGCAGGCCAGCCGTTAGCTCTCCCCCTCAATAAACTCTCTTCTGCCTGAACCAGGTAGCAGTTTCCTTTTGGCTGAACCTTACAGTCAGTAATTAGTGGCCAAGCACTGAAAGTAAGCCCTCCCCCACCATGCCTTCCAACCTTTCTCCTCTCGGACGCCATCTCTTGTCACGTAGTCACTACAGGTACTTGGACATAAGTACAGTGCCTGCCGAAGCTCCAGGTTGAGAAACCACACTTGAAGAAATGTGTTAACATAACAAGTGGCTCCAAGGTTAGTCAGGCCCACAAATGAGTTCTATACAAACACAAGATTATAATTATAAAATTAATTCCCCATGAGGGTAAAAGTTTATAAAAGGTTTCCTTGTATTTTCAAAGTAAGGATCTGTAAGCCTGGTAACTGGCATGGTAAGAACCACATCACATTTCTCGTGGCTGCAGGTGGGCATAACTTTCATGCAAGCACCACTATCATTTGACCACAGCAGTAGATAACTCAACTCTTAACATATATATTGCCTTCTCTAGCTATTTAAATCTAAAATGAGAACAGGTGATTCTCAAATAGATTATCTGGACATGTATAATCCAGGCTTTTCTTTTGTTACTTTTTTTTTTTATCATGGGGGATTGAACTCTGGGCCTGGGCGCTGTCCCTCAGCTCATCAGCTCAAGGTGAGAGCTCTACCTGTTAAGCCACAGCACCACTTCAGGTTTTCTGGTTGTTTATTGGAGATAAGAATCTCATTTTCTTGCCCAGGCTGGCTTTTGAACTGTGATCATCAGATCTCAGCCTCCTGAGTAACTAGGAATACCGGTGCCCAGCTCCTTTGCTACATTCTTTTTTTTTTTTTTTTTCCTTCAGTCACGGAGCTCAAACTCTGGGCCTGGGCACTGTCCCTGAGCTTTTCAGCTCAAGGCAAGTGCTCTACCACTTGAGCCACAGAGCCATTTCCAGTTTTCTGGTAGTTAATTGGAGATGGACTTTCCTGCCCAATGGCTCTGAACTGTGATCCTCAGATCTCAGCCTCCTGAGTAGCTAAGATGATTGGCATGCGCTACCAATGTACTGTTGTTGTAGTGGTTTTTTTTTCTAATGCATGAAATATTTAAGTACAAAATAACATTAAAAAAATATAAGCTCAAGAAAGCAAAGTTGCCGGGCACCGGTGGCTCATGCCTGCTACTCAGGAGGCTGAGATCTGAGGATCACAGTTCAAAGTCAGCCTGGGCAAGAAAGTGCATGAGACTCTTATCTCCAATAAACCACTAGAAAACCAAAAGTGTCACTGTGGCTCAAGCAGTAGGGTGCTCACCTTGAGCCAAAGAGCACAGAGACAGCGACCAAGCCCAGAGTTCAAGCCCTACCAGCGACAAAACAAAAACAAAAACCAAGTTACATAGCATTACAGGAATTTGCTTGAATTTTATCACTTCTTGTACCAACATTTTAAGTACAAAATAAAATAGGTAATATTAAAGTGAACACAGACTCTACATTCAAACTAAAACTATTCAAAGACTTACTGGATTATATCAGACTAGCTTGAAAGCATAAGGTCATAGGCTTGGGTACTGCTCAGTGACAGAGCACTTGTCTAGTATGTAAAAGCCCTGGGTTTTGTCCTCAGAACTACAAAAAATAAACTTAAGCCAGGCACCAATGACTCACACCTATAATCCTAACTACTCAGGAGACTGAGATCTAATGATCTAGGTTTGAAGACAGCCTGGACAGACAAATCCATGAGCCTTTTAAATCTAACTAATAAAAAGCTGCATGTAGAAATGTGGCTCAAATGGTAGAGTACCAGCCTTGACAGAGAAAAAAACAAGCAGGAGTGCAAGGCTATGAGTTCAAGCCCCAGTACTGGCACATACATACACATATACATACATAAAGATGAGTTGCACACAATTTAACTATGGCTAGTGAGGTCTAACTAGCCCAACCTCCAAAATCAGGTAATTTAACAACTGTTCCAATTCAACAGCTGACACTATGCAAAACAAATGTACATATCACCCAATGTGGAAGAAATAACTGCATTGTCAAAGCTCATAAAACTCATAAATGTTATAGACCACGATAGACAATTTGCCCCATGAAAGTGAACTTAACTAAGCATCACTACCCCACAATACTGTGAAATTTGGGAAATTACGTAATCCTTAATCACAACAAAGAATTTGGAAAAAAAAAATCTGTTCCAATTCAAGCCATGAGTCTTCAGTTATACTGCTTATCTTAAAGCTACATAGATTACATATAATCAAAGTAGCTAGGATTACAGGTGTAAGCCATTGGCGCCTGGCTAAACTGTCGTTTTCTTGTAGTGCTAATGATGGAATCCAAAGCCACAAGCATATGAGACAACAACTCTTCTACCTGCAGGCCACATTCCCATCCCAGTAGTGGTTTCCAATGACAGGCACAAAACAAAAGCCAAAACTAAGGAATTTCACACACATTTAGAAAACGACAGTTTAGCCAGGCGCCAATGGCTTACACCTGTAATCCTAGCTACTCAGGAGGCTGAGATGTGAGGATCGCGGTTCAAAGCCAGCCCAGGCAGGAAAGTCTGTGAGACTGTTATCTCTAATAACCACCAGAAAACCAGAAGTGGCACTGTGGCTCAAGCAAAGCCCCATGACAGACAAAAAAAGAAAGAAAGAAAATGACAGTTTACCTTTTTTCTCCTCTCACAGTTGGGATCATCGATGTTATGAAAACTATTTTCATCTATTTCTCCTAGCCAAATATGCTCACCAATCCCAACCAGGCAATTTGGATTTCCTTTGCAGTTTCGTCTATGAAAAAAAAATTAAAAACACACAGTAGAAATAAGGTACATTATAAACACATATGCACATACATAAGTTTTCTGAATACGTGTGTTCATATGTTACTGAGTTAGGGCTATTTTATTTTTCAAAACATAGATACAGATGGCTGCCAGTAGCTCACACCTGTAATCTTATCTACACAGGAGGCTGAGATCTAAGGATAGTAGTTCAAAGCCAGCCTGGGCAGGAAAGTCTGTGAGACTCTTATATCCAATTAACCACTCAAAAGCCAGAAATGGAGCTGTGGCTCAAAGTGGTAGAGTGCTAGCCTTGAGCAGAAGAGCTCAGGGATAATGCCCTAGCCCTAAGCTCAAGCTCCATCAATAAACACACACACACATACATACATACATACATACACATATACACACACACAACACAAATCAAAGGTGGAAGAAACCCTAAATTCAGAAGAAACAAGCCAGATGTGTTAGTGCATGTCTAGCATCCAGCCCTGGAGAGGCAGAGGCACTTAAGACCTCCTTTCCCTAGTCATGGGAAGTGAGCTCACAAATCTAAATCAACAGATCTTAATTTTTAAATATTTGACACACACACACAAAAAAGCAGGGTACCCTGAGGGAAATTACAAAGATTAACCTTTAACCAGATATCTTGCTGATCCCCAACAGTAAGTACATGCTTACTCAATCAATGAACTATCGGATGGAGACATGTTAAAAAGTCAACTAGAAATGGGCACATATCCCACAGATAAATCTGGCAGTAGGATAACCAACCAATGACAATAGGATCATAATTTATTATATAAGTCCATGGCTTCATAGTGAGATGGTAGATAGATTAAAGAAAACTCTCCCACCAGGCGCTGGTGGCTCACGCCTGTAATCCTAGCTACTCAGGAAGCTGAGATCTAAGGATCGCGCTTTAAAGCCAGCCCGGGCAGGAAAGACTGTGAGACTCCTATCTCCAATAAACCACCAGAAAACCGTAAGTGGTGCTGTAGCTCAAGTGGTAGAGTGCTCAACTTGAGCTGAAGATCTGAGGGACAGCACCCAGGCCCAGTTCAAGCCCCACGACCAACAAAAAGAAAAAAAAAAAAAGAAAAACCTGTCAGCCATCAGTGGCTCATGCCTACAAACAGACTAGCTACTCAGGACAGACGTTCAAAGCCAGCCTGAGTAGGAAAGTTAAACTACCAAGCCAGAAGTGGAGGTGTGACTCAAGTGGTAGAGTGCTAGCCTTGAGCAAAGCAGCTCAGGGGACAGTGCCCAGATCCTGAGTTCAAGCCTCAATACCCGCATGAAAGGAAGGAAAAAGAGAGAGCCAGATGCCAGTGGCTCACACTTGTAATCCTAGCTACTCAGGAGGCTGAGATCTGAGGATCACAGTTCGAAACCAGCCTGAGCAAGAAAGGTTCTAAGACTCGTCTCCAATAAACTACTCAGAAAAAACTGGAAGTGGTACTGTGGCTCAAGTAGTAGAGTGTTGGCTTGAGCACAAAGGATATTCAGGGGCAGAGTCCAAGCCTCGTGTCCAAGCCCTAAGGTGGGGGAAGGGGGGGACGGGACATGGAATATCTTCTAAAGAAAGCTAGCTCTCAAAGAGGAAGGAACAACTGAATTGGAAACTCACCATTTGGCATCCACCAGAAAGAAATCAGGCATGAATCATCCACAGTAAGCTATGTCTCAAAGTATCAGAGCACATATTTATTAATTACAAAGGGGAAAATAGTAACTTGAAGTGGAGAAAGCTGGTAGATAGCACTCTAATAACCAAATAATCTGTTAATATAACGAGTTGAATTGACAACATGCATTTTGCAGGCAAAATCAGGAGGAATACATCAGTTCTGGCAAGTATGCATCATCTGAATCTCACCTTAAGGAATAGTAAGACAAACACAGTTTGAGACATTCTACGAAATGTGTCCTGTACTATTCAAGATTCAGTGTTATAAAATATCAGTTTTAAACCAGGCGCCAGTGGCTCACGCCTGTAATCTTAGCTACTCAGGAGGCTAAGATCTGAAGATCAAAGTTCAAAGCCAGCCCAGGCTGGCTGCCAGTTGTGGGGCTTAAACTCTGGGCCTAAGTGCTGACTCTCAGCTCTTCAGCTCAAGGCCAGCACTCTACCACTTGAGCCACAGCGCCACTTCTGGCTTTTTCTGCTTATGTGGTGCTGAGGAATAGAACCCAGGGCCTCATGCATGCAAGGCAAGCACTCTACCACTGAGCTACCTTCCTAGACCCCTGTGAGACTCTTATCTCCAGTAAACCGCTAGAAAACTGGGAAGTGGCACTGTGGCTCAAGCGGTAGAGCGCTCGCCTTGAGCTGAAGAGAGCAAGGACAGCACCTAAGCACAGAGTTCAAGCCCCATGACCAACAAAAAAAGAAAAAAATCAGTTTTGCTGGGCACCAGTGGCTCATGCCTATAATCCTCACTACTTAAGAGGCTGAGTGAGACCTGAGGATCAAGGTTTGAAGCCAACCCAGGCAGGAAAGTCCATGAGCTATCTCCAATTAACCACCAGAAAACCAGAAGTGGCGCTGTGGCTTAAGTGGTAGAGCACTAGTCTTGAGCTGAAAAGCTGAGGGACAGCACCTAGGCCTGGACTTCAATCCCCACAATGAACCAAAAAAAAAAAAAAGAGCGTCTCATGGTCTTTTCTGTCCCAGCTGGCTTTGAACTGCAATCCTCTTATCTCAGCCTCCTGAAATTTACAGGCTAGAATTACAGGCATGAGCCACTGGCTCCCAGCAAAATTACTACTTTTAAGCCCCACTGAGGGCATTTAAGATTAGAAACTTTATAAAGTCCCATAGTAGTTTAAATGGATCTCATAAAAATTATAATGAAACAATGTCAATTACTACAGCAAAAAAAGGTGGGGGCCTAGATAAAAAACTTTTTGTTGTCATATGTAACAGTATCTGTAACTGAAAAACCTATAAAATTACACTTCAGGGTACTTCTTCTATTTCTAAGTATGGGTAATAGACAAGACTGGTTATATAGATACACTGTATCTTAGCTACCTGAAGGACAGAGGAAAAAAGAAAGCTTCTGAGTCAGACATGAATAGTTCACATGCTGTAAAACCAGATACTAGGAAGATTGAGGCAGGAGCTTAATCTCAAAGCCAGATTGAGTAATTTATCAATATCCTGTTTTAAAATTAAATTTAAAAGGATTAGATTCAATCTTCAATACCACCAAAAAAATAAAATAGAAGGAAGCAGGAGAGGGGAGACTATGTAAACCCCATTAATCTTTTTTTGGGGGGTGGAGGTGGTCATGGGGCTTGAACTCAGAGCCTCTGTGCTATTTCTGAGCCCTTTTGCTCAAGGTTAGTACAGTGCCATGTTATTTTTCTGGCAGTTAACTGAAGGTAAGAGTCTCAGAGACTTTCCAGCCCAGCTTGGCTTTGAACCTTGATCCTCAGATCTCAGACTCCTGAGTAGCTAGAATTACAGGTATAAGAGTGAGCCACCAGCACCTGGCTCTTCCATTACTTTTGACAAAATCCCAACCAAGTTTCAGTTCCAATGTTTGTTGGCTTTTTTTTTTTTTTGAGACAGTCTCATTATATAAACCAATTTGCCCTGAAATTTGCAATCCTTAGACTCACAAATGTCAGGATTACACAAGTGTACACTCGCTATGTCTGGTTTGCTTTTTATTTATTTTTTATCTTTTTTTGGGGGGAGGGGTCCGGTTGTGGGGCCTGAACTCTGGGCGTTGGCACTGTCCCTCAGCTCTTCAGCTCAAGGATAACGCTCTACCACTTGAGCCACAGTGCCACTTCCAGCTTTTTTCTTTTTGCTGAGGAATCGAACCCAGGGGGCCTCATGCATGCAAGGCAAGCGCTCTACCACTGAGCCACCTTCCCAGCCCCCCTCTGGTTTGCTTTTTAATATTCTGTTTAAACATACTGCTTGGGCCAGACACTGATGGCTCACGCCTGTAATCCTAGCTACTCAGAAGGCTAAAATCTTAGGATCTCAGTCCACTGCCAGTCTGGTAAGGAAAGCCCACTTATCTCCAATTAATCGCCAGAAAACCCCAAATGGCACTACGGCTCAAAGTGCGATACAGTACTAGCCTTGAACCCAAAAGCACAGACACAGCACCCAGGGCCAAGGCCCAAGCCTCATGATCAACAACAACAAAATTAATTAATTTTTTTTAAATATCCTTTGAGACAAAGGGGCTGGGAAGGTGGCTCAGTGGTAGAGTATTTGCCTGACTTGCATGAGGCCCTGGATTCAATTCCTCAACACCACATAAACAGAAAAAGCTGGAAGTGGTACTGTGGCTCAGAAGAATTGAAAATAAATTTTAATAAAACAAAAAATGTTCTTTCTGGCTTTTGTTTTTTGCCGATCCTGTGGCTTGAACTCAGGGGCTGGGCACTGTCCCTGAGCTGCTTTTGCTCAAGGCTAGTGCTCTACGACTTGAACCACAGTGCCACTTCGGGCTCTTTCTGTTTATATGGTGCTTAGGAATCGAACCCCAAACCTCATGCATGCAAGGCAAGCACTCTACCACTGAAGCACCTTCCCAGCCCCTCTTTCTGGCTTTTATATGAATGGAAATAGAAACAACTTGGACCAATTTGTAAACAGTCTTATCAGCTTTAGTTTAAAAGCTCAGTTAGAGCCAGCTGCTGATGGCTCTCGCCTATAATCCTAGCTACTCAGTAGGCTGAGATCTGAGCATCTTGGTTCAAAGCCAGCGTGGGTAAGAAAGTCTGTAAGACTCTTATCTCCCGTTAACCACCAGAAAACTGGATGTGGAGCTGTGGCTCAAGTGGTAGAGTGCTGGCCTTGAGCTGAGGAGCTCAGGGACAGCGCCCAGACCCAGAGTTCAAGCCCCATGACTATACCCACCCCCCCCAAAAAAAAAAGTTCAGTTAGAAAATAACTTTCTAGGCGACATGGCTCAGTCCTATAATTCTAGCTACTTGGGGGATGGTAAAGAAATTTTCAAAGACTCC